GACCAAAATGGCTGTTATTAGCACAGTTAAACAAACGAGCACAATAAAACAGTCACTGGTACAATTGGTTATAATAATAATTGTTTTCATTGAACTGATCGCGTTCTGTTGACAAAAGTAGGTCACTACAGATCTAACAATAACTATAATAAAAAAGATGAAGGTTATAGGTTTTCGGTCTCCTGAGTCTGCACTTGGAGATAATGAATTCTCATCATGTTCGGAAATTTGAAGGTTTGGAAGACTGTAAGCGGATTAAAAATTTTTGGTGGCAATGGAGAAGATATTCGAAATTAACGTACACTGTAATAAGTAATATTTGGTCAAAATGCGATCTTATATATGTAGAGAAGGACATTCTTTAATCCATTTTGAAATGATCACCAGGGAGACTATCTTATAGGTCGGCTGATTTCCACGACTCTGACTCGTTAGGCTTCGTTGTTTCCGACATATACCACAGTTCCTGAAGTGAAGCGACTGAATATCACCGAAAGATGTTCTCATTGTCCAATAAGTATTTCAGGCTGATATGCAGGCAAAAAAATGACGGAGTTTTGCGCTTAACTTAAGCTTCGACCTGAAAATCTGGCCTAAACACGTAGATTCCTTTCACAGAAAAGATGAGTGTCCGAAGTTGTAGAAAAAACACAACCTTAGAACATATGACGATAGGGGATATTTCCATCAGAGAAGTGCAGGGACACTGGATGGATTCACAGCATCTGAATCAATTCATGGACCAGAAAGGGTCTTGCCACAAATACCTAATTTGACTTGTTGTGATAATCAAGTAACTTGGGTTTTTGACTGCCTAGAACAAATAAAGTCTTACCAAATTTGTAGTTAATTAGAGAGGAACACAGAGGACACTGTCCTGTTGGCTGGTTCGTAGCGTGTCGCTGATCGATCTGCATCGATTAATTATGACACTGACGATGTCCGACAAACTGTGAGGCGTCCAGTTGTCTGCTGTCTGTCTATCGCAGAAATGACTTAGCTTTATTGATGATATGACTTAGCATCAGAGATGATCTTTGCGGGTATGCAGGTACTGAGACACTCGCTGAAGACACGTGAGCTCCTTATATAACATAGAAAGTAGTATTCAGAAGAAGAGATGGTTGTCGAGCTTTGAATTCAGTAATGTCAAAGGCGGTCAAAAACATTATAGATGACTAGATGTAGTTTTAGAGGTTAAAAATTACACACTTTACCCTTATCTAGCATCGAGATGGTAGTATAAGCAAATCAATCGATCTACTTATTCAATTCTCGGAGATTATTTAGGACAATACTGCGGACTCTTCAACATAGCCGGTACGAGTCAATCCTAACTTATCTTCCTACCTGGATTTCCATTCGTAGCACTTCTAGTTTACTTTAGCAGTAATTTTAGTTGCGTATTCCCTATATATTCAGTGTATTCTTTCTACCGAACCCCATCTATAGCATTCATTATCTGTTCTGCTTTTATAGACGTTGGATGTACCAGTACGTATTGGTACAAGAGTGCAATGCCAGTAACAAGTTGACTTGTTACTCACATTACAATTTTTCCATTGAAGTTGAGTCTACAAATCTTCGTAAATCTCGGAAAACTGATTAATTACATCATGAATAATTCAGGTGTTATGCTTGGAATATCAGTCGACTGATATTTAGGCGAAAAGTAGACAATTCAGTGACTTTTGAGAGATAGAGCGAGAAAAAGAGGGAAATACGCATTATTTCCAACGGACAGGCGAAAAATCAGACATTTTGGAGCGTTTTCCTTTTATTTTCCAATTCATTTTCCCCTTTATTGGTTGATTGGGTCAGGTAATAACGAGTCTTTCGACAGAGTCTCATGAGCTTCATGAAATCTCTTCATATGTCAAATGATTATTATCACCAGTCGTGTTAAGTTCAGACCTCCATATCCGTGATATGACCTTAATTTACAGTTTAAGGTTTAATAGTGTAGCTCAACCCTATCCATTTTTTCTGCTTTGATATTTTTACTACTGATGATAATATACTTCTCAGTCCTATCTTAGCTCCTGGTCACCCTGAGGTGGTGTTGTATTTTACAATGCTGTATATTTGTTGTGAATTGAAATGATACAGTTGTATGATACAGTTGTACTCTAATACTGAATGGGATCTGAGCAAAATAGTTGGACTGGGCAATTAGTACACGGCGCTTCAGCGATACGCTGCCGGGATGCAAGAGAGGGAAGTCTTTTATGGAAAGTGGATTAGTGAAGACGTCAGAAGGGCTAAATTATATTCCGAGTAATAAGTCATGTATCAATGCAATTAATAGAGCATGCAGAATCCTATAAACTGGGTAGTTGTTACACATAGTGAAAAAGGCCACGAAAGTCCATAAACAGAATACCACTGAATTAGTGTGACGAAAATATGTTGAAATTTGACCTTACAAGTTCTCCGTAAATCGATATTGATTCTCCTCCCCACAATTTATATTTGGGGTTGCACACGCCAAACATTCTTGTTTAATGATTACTTGCTCTTAGGCTTATTTGTTATACCGTTTTCTTTGACTCTAATAGTGATGGCCCCAAAATATTTCGGTACGGCCGAGGTTGGGGAGAGTCCGTTCCCTTTCAAAATGCTCTCACATGGCCACGCTACTGCCAGGAAAGTCCTACTCACTGCCTTCTCGAGGCGAGGGTGCTGTTTAAGAAATTGAAAGGATAAAAAGCAAATGTCCGGCGCTTTAACCGGGTTAATGGATCTAGAGGATCCATGTAGGGGAGTTGGAAAACCCTGATTCCAAACCAATGGTTCACATGGGCTCCACGATCCTGATGGAACAAAAGTCGTATGAGCCTATTGTTGGTCACCAGCTACTATGTGACTGAATCTTCTAACGTTGCTCCACTGCCTTGTAGATTAGACCTTTAGGTCAAAGGCTCCTAAGAAAACCACCTGCTCCAGTTTGGCCACCCTGGCAGTATTCCAGCCCTCACACTGATCGAATGTCTTGTGTGGCGCATATATATTTGGTGCCAATGTTTACGTTTAAATAAATGGCAAAAAATAATGAGAAGCATGAGTCTATATGTTCCTTAGTTCTACGTTGGAATGTAAATCACTTATCCATTCTTTATGTGAGTAAAGCAAATATTATGTAAATTTGAGCTGTCGTTACTTGTCTGCATCTTGACAACTGTTAAGAGACAGCTGAATGATGGACTGGTAGTACGACCGTTAATATCGGCTGTAGTGTATCTCCACAGTATTGAGGTGGTATCTGTCAATATTCTCATAAATTGCATCATAGGTTCCTTGAATGTTTCGATTTTCTGAATAGTCTAGTCTTCTTGTAAGTATGAAATCTGTCTTTATAGCCCATCATACTACATTTAATGCTTTGGTGGTTATGTATGGGTACGATTTGGCGAAGTGCCATGCACTGAGACTAGGGTGTAGATTATAGAGTTTTCGTCTTCCCTCTGGGTGACATGTTGCTAGGGTTTATTGTGAAAAATGCCGAACACTTGAGACTAGAAATAAATCTGTTATGAAGTATATAAACATTGAGATCACATTATCCCTCATACTGGTTCGAATCGGTCACATGTCTGATGTTTGTTCTCTGTTGATCATTAGTAACAACATCATTGGAAGTTAACACAGGATCTTGGTCGATGTAATGAGACAGAGCGTTTCTAGGGGTCGGATATGTTGTATTAACTTCCAAAGGAGTAGTAGAGAGAACCTAAATCAATTTAGACTGCTGACCAAGCAATCGTCTGAATTTATCGTCAGTACTTTCCACAACCATCACCCATCGCTACCGCTGTCCCACATTTACGTCAGTTATGTTTGTTTAGCTTTTGACCCAAGTTGTTACTGAATCCTTCCACATTTTCGATGTACTGTCTGTTAGTTTGTTTTACCTAACACCAGTTACATTTATGAACACTATCCGATTTCAGGGAAGATTAGCAGTAAGTGACGCGAAAAAGTTGATGCAGTTACAAATTTCTATAATTCGAAGGTGTTAACTTTAGATACTGTATGCTAGGTAGTGCAATACGGTCGAAAATTACATCTTAATTGTTAAGTAATTTACACCGATCCATAGATAATGCTTTATAATGGACTTCTGAATATCCCTTGAAGCACTTGAGGAAGCTCTTATGTTCAATTTACTGGTAGGTTTACCAGCTCACAATGGTCTTGAACAGCTCAATTAAGAAGGATGAAACAGACAAGGCATCTTACATAGACGGCAATTACCATATATTTCAGTTCCTAGGGAAAGCTGTTATTGATTTGAATGCTGACTGGTAATGGCGTCTTTGGTGTCAGGCTTCTGTAATTACTTACCTAATTGAATTCCAGTCACAGTCTGTTAGATATCGCCTTTGTTATCTCTAGTCTATCCTTTTTGAGCATTAGAACTGTGATCCATCGGTCTAAGCACTCGAACGTCAATCAGTAGGTCATAAACGCAAAGTCTGGTTCACACACTTGTAACAGTAATAAAACTATTGAATATGATGTTATTAACATGAACTTGTTCTTTTGCTTGCAGGGCGACGCGTAGTGGATGTGGTGGAGGAAGGATACCAAACTCTTCATAAACCTTTACCTTCCGACCATGTTATTCAATTTTAAGAATATAATTCGTTGCGCTGGTACTCTGTTCTCTTTCCTCGTATGTTCATTAGTTACTGATTATGTGATGTTTCACATCCTCCCTACACTAGTGAACGGCGCTAACATGTGTTACGTACTGGGGTTTAGACTACTTATTAGTGAACTTTGCTCCACGAAAGAGGTTTAATTCATAGTCCATCATATAAAGCTGTGCTTGAATGCTGAGGTATTCCATTAAAGCTGTTATTATTTATTACCAATTGTAAATAAAATAGATTATGGTAATATAACATAGTTTACATTTGTTTCACAAGTGAATGAGTCTTTGTTTTCACACTATTGCTGTCTCCCAGGAGGACGTTTTTAACTATTCCTAATTTTCCATGATGGGGAAACCTAGTGGTCCTGCTCCACAAGTTAATGGGATTTCTCCAAACCAAGGAACCCCTGGGACAAAACTGACTATTAGAGGAGAAAACTTGGGGAACACTGCAAGTGATCTTCTACATGTATTCATTGGTGGGATAGATGTTGGAAGAAGTGCTCAATGGTTCTCACCTAAGAAACTTACTGCCATTACACCACTGGGAGAAGGTGAACTTGAAATCGTCGTGGTTACCGATAGTGGGGGCTTTGGAACTGCCGCAGTAATTTATCGCCAAAATACCCTCCGCGTAGTCAGTAAGTTGGTTTGGTTAGTTATGGTCGTGCTTCACTGTTTCCAATAGTTTTAGAGGCTGTAATATTAATTCAGCTTGCGCTATAGCCCTTTACGACATTAAAAATTGTCACCTAAGCACTAATCTCAATTTTTCCCACTTATTGTATTGTTTTGGTTTCTTTATTTCGTAATATTAGAACTAAGACTTGAGTTTTCAACAATAATATAGTGCCTCTACACTTGGCTGAATGGTTAGACCCCTCGATTTTCAACCAGTGTTGAGACTTTCAACTCCACTCCATTTATTTTGTTTTGAACAGTCAGGCGTTAATACTATTATTATCATAGAACGTTTGGCTTATAACTGGGTGCATAAACCTGTGCTTGTATAAGAATATTAAATCAGCATAAATTTCATGAATGGCTTGAGAAATAAGAAAAGAAAAGCAGAAGTAAAATTAAATTTATTTGGTGCTGATGAATACGAGGTTTTAGATAAGTCATCATTAGTTCCATATTATCAAATGCAATTCACAAAATTAGTCCTTTGGAGATTACTGGTGTCAATATTCTCTGTGTCATGTGAACTTGTGACATTGGGCTGTTATGTTATTGTGTCTGGTTTGGAGTATCTGTGTTAAAATAAGTAGAAGACTGAAATACCGTATGTAGTATCGGAACTATTTAATCAACGGTATGATATTTGAATTTACTATTTTTAGATTAAGTATATTGAAAAATGTTACGTATTAATTGTAGTAGTTGTCTACGTAAACCTATAGACAGTAGATACGTATCGTGTTCTTCGAGGATTTATTTAATATCGCATTAGACTGGTGAGTGATCGTAGTTTAAATCTAACAGTAATATCTACATTTGTATTTTTGGAGTTTTCTGTATAAGTTAAATGCCATAAATATCGTTAGTTTATCTTACACTTATTAGAGTACATTTTCAAAAGATAAGGAGCTTTTATCATCTCTTCCAAAGCTGTAACGCTAGTCTTCATTAATTTTCGTATTTACTGTGTTTAGGATTCTCCATAGTTTCTATTCTTGGTCATGGATATTTTTTGTCAGATACTATTCTCACTATTCTTATGAGCTAATTTTGTTAATTGGTCTACTCACTTTTCGAAATTCCTGTTACCCTATTTTCTGTTCTAAAATCCCACAACCTTTTCTTCTAAGGTCCACAAACTGTTGTAACTTATTGGCCAGAAGATGATAGACGTGTTGCTCCTACTAGTGGTAGTACTTCTGCAGGATCATCCGGATCTACTGTAGCTGTTGGATGTGTTCCTGGAGCAGAGCTTGATCATTCCACTGGCCTTCCAATGTCGGAGTTGAGTCGAATTAGTATGCCACTGTCGGACTCTGCTTTGAGAGAAATATACCCACGTAAGAAATCTCTTAGTAACATAAGCATAATTAGTTCCTTAATTTCTTCAATAGGATTCAGTCATAATCAAATTAAAGCCCGGGAAAAATATTCCTTGGCCCAAGTTATCATACCACATAAGCACGACAGGGTGAAATTAACTAGATAAATTGTGAATGAGTCAATGACAATGAGAAAGAATAAGAATTGATAGTATGGTGTGAAAAGACAAGAAGAAAAGATGTGTATAAACCAGTACTGGTGCTGAAAATCTAGAGGACGATAAAGACTGTAACTGTTGTACTGTGGTTTATTCGAAGTCATACCATCCAAATTCTTCAACCACTGATCGCAGTTGTAAAATAACATTTCCTGGACAGTAATAAATAGCTAAACAGGTTTTTTCTGTTTAAGCAAGCATCATATACTGCGTATTTAGACTGAAAAGATGTATACCTAAATGCAAATTAGAGTGATTTATGGTTCAGTATCATAATTACGGCTGAAAGAATGATTGCAGATAGAATAAACAATGATATGTTGAAGATAGTACGTATGATGAATTTCGTAATCACTATTTGATGGTCAATTAATATACTTTTTATAACTACGGCGTACCTGTTTATACATTACTGTAACAAGATAAAAAGATATATCGAACGAGATTTTTTATACTAAGTTACTTGTTTGTTAGTACACTTCCACCATCAGAGCCATTCTCTTCAATTTATATTCTGTTATTGTACTTTGGCAGGTGATTGACAGTTCAAGGCTTTATCTTCGTTAGTTGATATAGTCACATGTTTAGCCTTATAGCATAAATGGGAATCTGCTTACTACTTGTGTCCTCATGCATTTTATTCATAAATTGTACCAGATTCACAAACTTGAATTCGATTAATTTGAATTCATTTTATACTTTCTGGTCCTAAAAGTCAGTTCAAATGTTGTACATTTACGAAATCCTGCGACTCCTGATATGTGCTTTAAAATGAAATGTGTAAAATCATTGTTTAAGAAACAGTGCATTTTATGTACTCATCATTCCAGTAATTCACAGTTGAACACTACTAGTGTCCCAAATCATGTCTAGAGTAATGTTTTTTATTGATTATCATATGTTTTAGTTGTATATCTTAAGTATAGTGAAAATGTCATTAGAGTGATTTTTATGATGTTAGAGATAAAGCTTTTTAATTCAGAAAAAATCATTGCCGTCAATCTGTGATGTTACCTGGGCTTATGTACGTGCAGCCTACGCAACACAATCCTACCATACATATATAGATTTTTGTGTTTAACTTCCCAATGGATTTAAGATTTAATAATACCTAGTGGTGTAACTCATTTATGAAGTAAGGATTCATGTACTAAACTTTTAACTGTACTATTGATTCGGGAACTATTGTTTACTGCCCAGCTAAAAAAAAATAAAGGTAGGTGAAATGGAGTTCAAACCTGCGATCAAGTGGTTGAATGTAGGACGTGTCGTTCTTTTTCGATCATTACTGACTGACTGAATTAAAGTGGTAACATGTTCACAATGTATTCTGCTTATTGTTATGTTTGAAGATATTACGAGTTCACCTAAATCTGCAATCGGAACGACTCAGCGACACAATGACCAAATAAGCTAACTATTCCGATGAGTCCCAGCCCCACTAACTAGAGAGAGAAGTCCAGGTTCAGAAGAGGGAATGTACTCCATAAGCAACCAGGAGCACGAACAACAACGAGCACAACTTAAGCGTATATATACGGCATAGAAATGCCCTTGGGAAACGTTACAAAATAGCATATTAAAAGAGACGACGAACCAATGGCATTTAAGATCCTCTTAAGTGGGAAATACGTTATGAAGGTGAAAATGAGCGCTTTCGGCGCGAAAACAAGAAATTCAATTCCAAAAAATAAAATTAAAAACATGAGACATTTACCAAGTGAGTTCCGGGGATTTACCATCCCCAATACTTATATATTTACTCCTAGATGAAGTCAATAGTGAATTAGTAACTAAACGAAGATTTTACTGTTTTATAGGTTTTTCTCAGTTCATTAGCTGATATTTTCTAAATTTGAAACTTGCAGTTGTTTTTATTTACTTTGTTCTCCTAATTTAATCCTTTTATTGTGGTTGTTTCAAATTATTAACTTTTTTCTTGTAGAAGTCATTTCCTGAAAACAAATCCAACATTTTATTTTCACATTTCCACATTATAGGGTCAGGTTCAGTACATTTGGCTGATAAAGATTTTAATCCAGTTATGTTTCTACTGAAATTCTACAAAAATTCCAAGTAAGCTTACAAAAATAAAAAAGATTTGTAAAACTTATTAGTTCATACTCAGTTTAATGAATCACTGAAATAGGTCAAGTATTAGATAGCCTATTGCCAGTTATACAATTTTTGACTATTCTAATTCTTTAGCCTAAAATGTAATGTTCTTATATTTCACGAAGCATATTAAATGCTAATATTATGGCTACTTCCGACAACACTAACAAAATTATATCCAATTAAGAGATTTCGTTTAGTACAAAGCTCACATGTTGTTACCCTTTTCCTACATATCTGGATAAAAATCTCTTATTAGTAAATGATTTGCATCAAAAGAGACTGTTAACAATTATACTAAAAGGATTCTAGTTGATTAAAATTAGCGTCTGTTTTGGGATGTGTAAATGGATCCATAAATCGTATTCACTATTTAACTAGAAGCTCATATTAAATAAATCTTAGTTGATGATAATCCGTAGGGTTGTAATTATTGTGCCTTTTGTCTTCAGTTTAATATAGGTATTTAGAGCTCTGCTGAGGAGTCCCATACTAACATGAAACGTCTTTTCAGTGCTTTCAGGTTTCCAATTGTGGTTTAACTTAAATCGGTTCTTAATTTCAATGATATTCAACAACCTCTTCAGCTTTTTACTGACAAATGTCATATGCATGCTAGTGACTGGCTTCAACAGGGAGTTTCTGGAGTTTTGGTGAGAAGCCGTGACCAGTGGAGCCAAACCGTGTCGGGTGGGAGTTAGATATCCACTGAAGACAATGGAAAATGGTTGCACAATGTCGTAGATTGGTTGAAGTTAGACGTAAACACCTTTGGATGCTGATTCAGCGGTCTGGAGGTTAAGTGTTTTCGCGCGAAACCCGAGGTCCTGGGCTCAAGTCCCGCATGCAGGGTCGTAGCTGCGCACTGATGAGTCCCATACTAGGGTCAAACGGCCGTTCGGTACTTCCAGGTTTCAAATGGCAGTCTAACTTAGATTGGTTCATGATTTCAATGAAAAATTTGGAATATTTGTAAATTCCGTACGCTGAAATTCGGTTTTTGCTGCTTGTTTATACCTTTTATGACTATTGTACACTTACAAGGCTATTTGTTAGTAGTTTCAATAATTCAGTCCACACATTTTATGAAATTATATGATTAGAAACATTGATTACCCTATGTGTTTCGTAAGAGTAACCTTTCTAGGTTAATAATGAAAGCATTATGTTACCGGAGTTTGTGAAATTTACCAACAGAAAATAGTGCTATGTATATCTCCACTGATTTCTATTTCATAGCATTTGTGTTTTCCAAATGCTTAATAGCAATAATGCCTATGCTATCCGTGTTTCAAGGTGTTGTGAATGAGAAATTTCATGGAAATAAAGTACCCGAGATGATATAATTAGAGATATGTATCATGTGTAATGTCTTTATGAAATTGATGGATTTGTAGCTAGCACTGGGATCCCATTCGGGACTCATCAGCTGGATTCCTTGTAGAAGTAGCTTGATCAAGCTGTAATTCATACAGGATGCACAATCATCAAAATTCAGACAAGATTGTGAACAAGATAATTCAAATCCGTTCTAATTATGATGTGAAAGTCTGCAGTGATTTTGCTTGTGACTATATCTCGTTCAAGATAAAATCTTTGTAAGGGATTTCCCATTTTGATCATTTCCTTCGAAGGTGAATAATTGACTCAACAGGAATGTATATTTTATGAATTTATTATATTGTTTCCAGTGGTTCTGAAAATGTAATTTCAAACGGTGAAATGTAAACAAATTTCTTCATTTTAGTTTTAATGATTTATTGGTTACGGTGAAAAATTTTCGCCAAAGTATGGGTCAGGAAGGTCCAGGTGAACCTGTCAATGTTATTAGAACAAATCTAGTTTTAATTTTTCGATGTTTGGATGGAATGGATGGTAAGCTGAAAATATCTATATATTATTAGTGAATATTACTATGGTATAAAAGTCTGTGTATTTTCGTAAACAAGGTCGGTTATACCCTGATATTTCATATTATTCCTTGTTTATACGACATCAGCATGACAAGTTGTTAGTTTCATGAATCTTATCGATTACGGACATTTAGTTTTTTCCTTCGCATGTACAGATTTTTGTAGTGTGAACATCTTTAGTTCGTTTATGTGTATGAGAGCTCAGTAACACCATTGTTAATTATCAAAGTACTAAATTTATGATAAAATAAGTGTTTTTTAAAAAAAATCTTTTGTGAAATATATATTTATCATTTTATGTTCATTTTATACTTATTATACAGGTTTACGTCGTAGATTGGACAATGAGAAGAAATCAATTGAAACAAATAACAGCAATGATTTACGTTTGGAATCAATTCTTTACGGTAGAGATTATTCATTTTTCTTAAAACTATTTTATTACTGTATGTATTACGATAACAAAAATCATATTAGAATAGTATTTAAAGGTAATGTAATTATATGTTAAGTTAGTTTATATGAAATATTGCAGTGTTTACACATGATAACAACTCAAATAAGCATCCATGTATTTTATGATAACTGTACATTTGAAGTACGTTCTTTTTCTTTATTTATAAGAATTCATTTTCATGAACGATTATTTGTTAGAATATTCATATAATAAATAGCTTAGAATAGGTTGGTGTAATATTATGCATTGTTGTTAAAGCCTAAACATGATATGAGTAGATATAATGATTTAATTATGTTATCTTGTACTTACATCTCTTTTTGTTTTTTACATGGTGCAATGATTTTAATCAAAATTTCCTCTTTTTATGAATCTTGATTTACCTATGATAGTTGTCGACATTTAGAATAAAATGTTTTTCGTCAGCTTGATAGTTTAAGGTTACTCTCCCCTCCCTTCAGTTAGTTATTAGATTGAATAAATTTACGCATGCTTAGATACATCATATATAATATCGGCTTTGAACAGGGAGTAAAGCAATTGTATATTGTCCAAATTACTGATCTAATTTGTAAAATGATGTTATTAATCGTTGCAGGTAGGTTTTAACTACTCGTTCTGTTAAGCTATTCGTTGGTTATTGGGTTGAAGTTTTAACTCTCATTTTATTGAAATCATGAACCGATCTAAGTCAGATCATTATCGAAAACCTGGAAGCACTGGATAGCTGTTTCATCCTAGTATGGGATGGTCATGCAATGTCGTGGGTTGGTTGAAGTTAGACGTTAACACCATTTAATCCCGACTCATTGGTTTAGAGGTTAAGCGTCCTCACACGAGACCAAAGGTCTTGAGTTCGATTCCAGCGTGTGCTAGCGTAGATGCACACTAATAAGGAGTACCGTTCTAGGACGAGTCGACTATCCAGTGCTTCCAAGTTCTCAACAGTGGTCTAAGTCAGATCGATTTATGATTTCACTGAAATTCAATAACTTCCACAACCACTTACTGGCAAACTTTATTTTAGTCTAAACTAGGAAGATATTAATATTATCTCACATATTACTGGAATGTAGAATGAAAATCTAATATATTGTGATTTTTGTTTTGTTGCGCTAAAATTATATGGCTTTACTTTTGATAATAAAACGACTAAATTGAATGGAAACAATTACTCGACAGATTATAACCATAACTTTTGTATCCTTCGATTACTTCAGATACCCGCGCACTTGGTCACCGTTTATTTGAAGATATTTTAAAACGTAGAGATAGGGGTGATTCAATTAAAAATGCTATATCTGTTTTGCAACGTTATCAGTTCCTATTCAATCTACCACATGCTATTCGAACAAATATATCCAAAGTAAGATATTATGTACATTCTTTATTTTCTCAAATAAATGATGGTAATCTTCGTTGAAATTCTGTTCTTAGTGCTCTATTATAATTCGTTAGAAAGACGTTGATTCACACTCGCTTTTGATCCACACTTAGTATGATGATACCTGGTGGCTGGAAGTAACGTAGGATATGGCAGTTTTTGAACCTGGAGTCTAGTGATTGAAAATTAAGCACTTTGTTCACTGATATTTCATTGCTGTTTATTCGAAGTGCCCCCGAATGCCCTGGTATGGCCGAGAGTGGGGTGGGCCCGCCCTCACTTTCGAAATGCTTTCACACGGCCACGCGTATACAGCCTTTGCTGGGGAAGTCTTACTCAGTGCCTTCTCGTGGCGGGGTGTTGTTTACGAAAATCAGAGGACGAAAAGCGAATGTCCGGCGCTTTAACCGGATCACAAACCAATGCTGCACATGAGCTCCAGTATCCTAAAGGAAGAAATGGCGCATGAACCAATTTCTAGGTCACCGGCTACCATGGGATGCTCCACTGCCTTGTGGATTAGACCTTTAGGTCAAAGGCTTAGGGTGTGGCCCTCTAAGAAAACCACCTGCTTTGGTCTGGGCACCCGGGCAGTATCACAGTCCATACACAAATAAAATGAAAATTTGTGTGGCTCATATATATTTGGTGCCCCATTGTATCAGTATTTATGTGTCCAAATAAATAAATAATTCGAAGGCGTGTTTTGGAATCTGATAATATAGACCAAAGTATTAAAAAAGTAGTTTATGCGGAATAACATCCAAAGGAAAGAAATCCATCATAGTAGTATCATTGTTTAGCATCTAGTCATCCATTTCCACTAGAATCCTAATTTAACAGTATCCACAAAGTCAAATGTACTGGCTCTTTTTAAAACAGTTACATAAGAAATTTTTGGTTGGAAGGGGCTTTGGCAGTTAATCAACTCAATTCCCACAATGTTAAATTTTTTTAACTTAGCAGTAATTTCCTTAAAGTTTCTTAATGAAAATAAATTTAATTTCATTGAAATCGTAAACCGACCAATATTAGACCACATTAACACCGTTGAGTGACGACTCAGTCGTCTAGATTTTAAGCATTCGCGTGCGACATTGAAGGTCTTTATTCGAATCCCTCGTGCGGGGTCATGAATGCGCACTGTCGAGTTTCATACTAGGACGAGTCGGCTATCCAGTGCTCCCAGGTTTCCAATGGTGGTCTAACATTGGTCGATTCATGATTTCAATTAAATTCAACAAAATCCACAACCTCAAGCTGAAAATTTAATTTGATTATCTTATTATCTCTTTCCTTTTTCCCTCCCATGTGGCTTGTGTTATTGCAGGGTGATTACAATTTGGTATTAAATGATTACTTGCGTGCAAAATCATTATTCTCCAGTTCAGATACTGAAGTTCTACGCCGTAGTAAGTTTGAATCTATGGTAGAATTTCTTTCCTAAAAATAATACCATTCAGTTTAGTGTAATATTTATATAAAGATAGGAAATGATTACAACGTGAAATTTTCTGCAGTGGGTTTGTGCAAGATTTGTCCAGTATTGTTGCATAGAAGTAAGACGACACATTTACCTCACTATAGGTTGACTAGTTGGTTTTTAAGTGCTTATCACAGATTGGTTTTTTGATTTATATCAGCATATAATTACTTGAACATTCTGTTGACTATACCTTTTCTACAGTTGGCTTATTAGATGTACATGGTTGAAATATGTGATCATTTTATTGTTACTATTCAATATACTATTAAGTAGTGCATTTAGTAATTATTGAAATAGTTATCTACCGGATGTAATAGAAGTTGGTCGTTAATTATTTCAAACTGGTTGAATTTAAACATGTATACAGTATTGGATACTGACTCAGTGGTCTAAACGTTAAGCACTTGTTCAGTAGGTTACTAAGATCAGTCCTTGTTAACTATGGAGATAATTGGATTCACAACTAGTGTTGAAGCCGATTTCTGGTTTACAGCAATTTTTGTTATATCGTATTGGTCTCTTACTTTTCACAACTCAGTGTAGACTTGGTGAAAAACAGAAGTAAAAAATCACATAATTCTTAGGCAGCCAAAGTAATATGACACGTAATTTAACTACTGTTTCGTTCGTTAAACACTTCGACTACACGGTGAAAAACTCCCAGCTCCGATTTCTTTGAAATTAAAAACAGAAAATTTTTATATCCTCTCTTTTAGTCCTAGTTAATTCAAAACACAGTTCTCAGACGATTTAATGAAAGGACCAAGAAAGTTTGGGCTAAGGGAGCATCTGTCGCGTGTATACGTGACTTTATATTGTTCTCATGAGTAGTATAACACGTTAGGTTATTTAAAAGACTAACAAATCAGCAACAACAAAATAGTCTTCTTACTGCTGCACTTCAGGTTTTAAAAACTGAAATTTAGATTTGCTGAAGGAAGTAGTATATTGTAAGTTAGTTTAAGGGGATGCAACACCACCTCAAACACTACTTATGTATTTTGAAGCGTATAAATTCATTGTTTTAACGGTAACTAATAATTTCAATAGTTGAGATCATGAGTCAATTGACGCTAGACCACCATGAAAAAACTGAAAGCTCTGGACGGTCGTTTCGTCTTATTGCAGGACTCTTCATCGGTGCGCATTCACGACCCCGCCTCGCGATATTCGAACCCAGGACCTATCAGTCTGGCGCGCGAGCGATTAACTACTAGACCACTGAGCCGGGCGGCATCCAACGGTTTTAATGGCTAACTCCAACTAATCCACGAAATTGAGCGACACATCCACCATTGTCGTCAGTGAGTTACTATCTCACAACTGACCCGGTTGAACTCCACTGGTCATGGTTTCTCACTAGAACTCCAGGAAATACATGTTGAAGCCAATCACTAGTGAGCATATGTTGATTAGTATCAGAAGGAGTTTTGTGGATATTGTAGTAATTTCAATAGTTGAGATCATGAGTCAATTAAAGCTAGACTACCATGGAAAACCTGGTAATAAATAGAGGAACAAAGCGTACCATTTATATAAAATGAGGGATCCTGTACAACATAAATTTGTTTATTCCTCCCGATTTCATCAAGTTGTAGCTAAACAATTATTTTCATTTTTGGTGAGATTTTAAATTATTATAAATACTTCTAAAGTGTTTTTTCCACAGGAAAAACGGATATTACAATTCGCCCCTAAAAAGTTCCCTCTTACTTTTCTAGTTTATAGTGATGTGGAAACTGTAGTTGCTAATTTTTCTGTTATGCTTCGTAATCAACTAATTTCTATGCCAATTGATTGTGATGATGCACGACATAAAATTGGGTAAGTTAAATTGTTGTGTTTTGTTTTCATGAAATTAAATTATTTATGGAATTTAGTACAATTATGATATAACTCACAAATAGGATCGAGAACATTGTCTTCATTAATAATAATCATTATATATTTGATTACTTTATGAAATGGAACTGTGATATGAAAGAAAGTTTTCTAGGTAAAGTATCTATCAGTTCATTATGACTCCTTGGTTGGTGTCTTATAGATCATGCAGCTCATTTGCTTGAGAAGTTATCAGAGACAGCTTAAAACAGATACCAGTACTTTTTTTACATTGTTCATAAACATGAAATCAATCCCGTTAACTATTCTCATCCACTTACCTTTCTATTTATTTATTTATTTATTTCTATCATATTCTCTCTCCATATATTCCTTCAAGATTTCATGTTTTTATTTGGGTAACGCTTATTTATTTTGGTACCCATTAGCATCAACATTTATATGTTTCAAATGAATAAAATAATTAAATAAACCAGTAGAATATGGTTAAATTAATTTGACTTGTTACATAGAGGGCTTTTAAAGTATGATTAGTAGGTTTACTACTTTGGTAATAGAGTTTGTAAAATAATTTTTGTCCTTATGGTTAATAACCCTTTAGTTACCTGGTCAATTTTAGTTTATTTCGCCAACATACGATTCATTTTTATGTATTGTTTACTGCAAGATCCTGCAAAATAAAGAAAGGACATTTTGTTTAAAAAAATCCGAATAGTTGAATCATGATTACCCCAAACATGAAGTTTTTCAGTTCTTCATTGCTCTAAGTTAATTTTCGCTATAAAAGATAGTTGCTTACATAAATTTCTTGACAACTTTAAAAAACCCCCTGAAACAAGTGGGCGTAAAGCACATTTCTTAATTAGCTGTCGAGGTCCTTGTCATAGTTATGGAGGAAGGTGATTCAATGTTTACCTACTCTGATTTATGTACCGACCTTAGTATCGCTTATAACAGCTGTTCTTTCCTACATCCGGGCGATCTACTTCTGATCCTATATAGTGGTTATTTTTGTCTTTCGACGCTTACCTTAAATTAGAAATGGCTTTAAAACAGTGAAAATTTTAAACTTTCCAAATGATAGGGAAGAGTTGTAGCTTAGGTGTTTCGTTCTCTGATTTTTTTTTGCTTTTTGTCATGAGAACCATTCGTTTTTCTTAAAATCACTAAATTTTCTTGGATTGATTTTTGACGCTAATGGTTCCTGACTTAACCGCAAAATAGATATCCATATCACAAAACAGTTATAATCTTCTAAAGATGTGGTTCTGTTTCAGTCATTTTCGAGGCTCATTAGCCACTACTGAACCTTTGTATAGTCAGTAGATTATACCTAATTTCCACTCGATTTTCTATTTTGCTAAAGCATGCCGTGAACTTGAGGCAAGGAATATAAGCCTACACCCTATTAATTGGATTTCAAACACATTTATTTATAGTTATTGACATTGACTGTAGATACATATGCTGTTATGGATTCAATTTTATTTCATATAATTCGTGATGGATTAGAACAAACAATAATGGGAAGGCGTGACCAGTGGAGTCCAATCCGTGTCGGGTGTGAGACAGTTATCCACCTCAGACAATGGATGAAGGGTTGCGCAAGTTCATGGGTCGATTGAAGTTAGACATTAATACTTTCAAATCCCGACTCAGTGGTCTAGAGATTAAGCGTTTGCGGGCAAGACCAAAGGTCATGGGCGTTCAAATCTGGAGTACGGGATCGTGGATGCACACTGCTAGGACAAAATGGCCGTCCAGTGCCTCCAGGTTTTCAATGGTGGTTTAGCTTAGATCTACTTATGGCTTCAACTGTTAAAATCATGGGATGGTTTGAGATCTGGTCAAATTGAGAACTAATGATCGATATTAGTTTTTCACAGTTCAAAATCTTCATAGATTTATATCTAGTCAGATTTTTGCATTCTTGATGGATTATAAGCCACATTTTACCGTTTAAAGGGTTTCCGCTCTCATTAAAACTTTATTTCTGTTATATCTGACGAAGACTAAAATAATGGTAACTGCCAGGATTAATTTATGTACTATTATTATATGTATATTCTCATTGTGTGGTAATGATGTAACAAGATTATTATATATTTATATCCTTCTTATCATAAGTTTTCGTCCGACCAATTGACTACTGCTGTATAATCTACTATTAAAGTGTTTCCAGTTTGTTATTCATAGTCTTCCCTACTCACAGTCACTCTTAGCTTGGTCATGTATAATTGTTATTTTTCATTTTATGGTGTGATGCAGTCTAGTATGCTTGTATGTAAACTACGTATAGTTGAAATATAATATTCGTATATTGGAGGCTGATTACTGTGTTCTGGACTTAACGGGCAGGGAAAGGAGAGGAGCTACCGAATCGAGGACCAATAAGAGCTTAGTATTATTAGTGCTTTTTCACGCAATATTAGACAGGACTATAAGTCATAACTTCCTATTGTTGCAGTTGTCATGATTATTCATTGTTTACATTCCTTTATGAAACCTGTCCTTTGAAAACTTCGTTTTTATCTATAAAACTGTACAACATTAATTGGGAAAATCTATTGAACTTCTTGTTTCTAGTGATGTACTCTTTCCTGTTTGTTACTGATTATGATTTAGTGAATATATCTGATTCTCTGTTTGGTATATGAAGTATGATGTATTTGTGTCGGCTTAGGTGTTATGGACATCACTGTCATTCTTATTCAATACCTATCGTTAGTTATACTTTTTACTCTACTACATATTCTGTTTGTGTATGTATGTGTAAATTCTATGTACAAGACGCTCAAACAGAGAGATAAAACGAAAGAGTAAGTCCTAATCATATTTTCAGTAACGTGAAGGAATATTGTAAGAATATGTGGGATAGATGGTAGAGTAAGAAAGTTATATTAGCGCAAAAGATATTTGATAGCCGGGTATCCTTTTGTTACTTCGTCAGTAATATTGGCGAATACTTAAGTTGTCTATTTCACTGATATTATTGTGTTTGTATAAAATCTGCTGTTTTGATGCCTTATGTTGACTAAGAAGTACCAATTTCTGATTGTCTTGATTACTGAGTGATACATTCAATGCATTTGCTGTCTTGATAAATCATATTCGAGAAAAAATATTTGATAATTTTTATTACAATTCTGGAAGTGGCCTACATGATAAAAAATTTATATAAATTAAAGAAACGTTGAAACCTAGGAAGCACTAGGTAGTTTTGTTCTGTTTTGGAGCTTCACCCGACCGTAGCTGCTACCTTGACGTGGTGGTCGGGCTTGCCTATCGTCATGACCCACATGTTCCTGCATGTTTCACCATACCAGGCAGGTCGATTGGAGAACGGTAAGACTAAAAGCAGCAACTCAAGGTCTGAGGGCAAAGTCGTACTGCTGACTGTACAGAGGTGTGACAGCAGTAAGGTGTTTCCCTCGGACAACCAGCATCTGCAGCGATGCTGCCTTCTCACAAGGAAGGAAGGGGTTAGAAAACGTTGACCCTAAAAATGTCACACTCCACCTTACCCCACGGATTTCCGTCTCCGGCAGTAAGGCCGTTTGAAGAACGAAGCTAACACATTAAAAACTTCCCACAAAAAGGCCGTGCGCGACCGGCCTCAAGCAGTTGTCCCTTGGGCTCTGCGGTCACGCTCCCAGGTCTTCAAGACCAACACTAATCCGATTTCCTTTTCAGGTTCCTCAAGAAATACCCTTCCACGGTGTGGGCAGCCGGGCAGTGACATCAGCCCTCATACCCGTAACAGCACACGAGGCCAAGTTGGTCACATTCAAATCCCTCCTACACCTCCTAATAACTCTCTTATCTCCACGACTAACCCTTCTCACGTACCTTTATCACCTAACACCGCTAGTGCAAACGATTCGAGTACGCGGAATGTTATTCCTGGCCTCCTGAAACCACGCTCTAAACTACACGTAGGTGCTTTCAATGTCCGAACACTGTGCCAAATAGGACAACAGGCTTCCTTAGCTAGGACTTTAGAATCTCGCTCCATCGATGTGTGCTGCGTCTCCAAAACGCGCACACAGGATCCGAGTAGTGTTATTCATTTGACCTCACCATGTCAAAGTAACGAACCAACTCGGTTTACGCTTCGTGTATCTGGAAGCCCTGATGCTGCTTCCCGTGGCCTCGCTGGCGTAGGTATAGCATTGAGTCCTAGGGCAGAACCAGATCTCTTAGACTGGATCCCAGTAGACAGTCGTTTGTGCGCTGTCCAACTAAACGGAACAGTAAGGACTCGAAAAGATAGGTACACTCGTCATTGCCTCTTCGTTGTCTCTGCCTACTCTCCCACTGACTGCCACTCAGATGATGTAAAAGATGAGTTTTACAGAAAGCTTTCCGATCTTCTCCGAAAAGCTAGGCGTTCTGATGTAGTAATAGTGGCTGGTGACTTTAATGCTCAAGTAGGTAAACTAAGCGAAAGGGAAAGACACCTGGGTGGATCTTATGGTGTCGCGGCTCAAAGAACGGATAACGGCGACCGTCTGTTGCAGCTATGCTCAGATAACCGCCTGTTTCTTGCAAACACTAACTTTAAGCATAAGGACAAACATCTTTTGACATGGCGACCCCTGAATTCGTCCAAACTCTGGACCCAAATAGATCACATCGCTATCAGCCACCGATGGAAGGGCTCGATAGAAGACTGTCGCTCATTCTGGGACACATGCTTAGACTCAGACCATGCTCTGGTGCGAGCGCGTATTTGTCTACGTCTTACTGGACGTAGGAGAGATGGTACAAGGAAACCCCTTAGGGTCCTACTTAATGATAGTCAAGCTAAGAGTATATTTCAGGAAAAACTAGAAAAACAGTTAGGCAGCCATGTAAGTGATGCCCGCCCCGAGGCAGCGTGGAATGACATCCGAAGAGCTGTAGAAACAGCAGTGACGTCTGCAAGTACGGTAAACCATAAGGTTAGGGAGAAACACTGGATCTCTGCAGCGTCTACCGCACTGATAGATGCTCGAAAACTCATTCCATCTGGCTCTGAACATAACGAAGAACGGAGTCATCTTAAGCGTAAACTGACAAGAAGCCTACGCAATGATCGTGAACAGTGGTGGGTAGCAAAAGCAAGAGAGATGGAAAAGGCAGTGTCAATAGGTAACAGCAGGCAACTGTCCAGACTTGTTAAAGAAACCGGTATTAGGAACCTAACTGTTAGCAAAACAATCTCAGAGAAAGATGGACATATTATTCATTCTTAATCCAGGAGATTGGATCGGTGGGTAAAACACTTTAGGGATCAGTTCAACTGGCCTTCAGCCACACTTCGGTTTCCCACGATCTCCAATCTACCTGAATGGCAAGTTAATGTAAGTCCTCCGACTCTAGGAAGTTGAAAAAGCTATAGGAAATCTGAAGCGTGGGAGAGCAGCAGGCCCTCACAGGTTTACCCCTGAGATATTTAAGGATGGTGGTCCAATGTTAGCAGCGAGATTGACTGAGGTCCTAGGTAGAATCTGGGAACTGGACGAAGTCCCATCTGATTGGTCGCAATCACTGATTGTGCCAGTCTATAAGAAAGGACAAAAGTCCTCATGTGACAATCACAGAGGAATCAGTTTGACTAATATAATGTCTAAAATATTAGCTTCAATAATACTTCGATGCCTAACCAAAGCTCGTGAAGAGCAGACTAGAGAAAACCAGGCTTGTTTTCGACCTGGACGTGGTTGTATAGACTAGGTATTCACACTACGTCAGGTTCTAGAACATAGACACACATTCAGACGCCCCACAATGGTAGTATTTCTCGACCTTAAGGCGGCATTCGACTCTGTTGATCGTGAGGTTTTGTGGCAGTGTTTGTCTCTGAAAGGAGTACCAAAGAAGTACATTAACCTTATAAAGGCTCTCTACTCGAACACAACTGGTCGAGTGAGAGCATATGGCTAACTTTCATCAGAACTGATTACCTCAAGTGGTGTTCGTCAGGACTGTCCGCTCACTCCATTCTTGTTTAACTTTATCATTGACGTGCTTTTAGAGATAACTCTTTCCACATCAGACTTTCCAGGGGTTGAACTTCTACCTTGAAATTCACTTGTTGACTTAGAATATGCCGATGACATAGTTCTATTTGGTGAAGACGCTGATGAAATGCAGAGTCTACTGACCACTCTAAGCAACAATGCAGGCATGTTCGGCATGCGATTTTCTCCCTCGAAATGCAAAATGTTGCTTCAGGATTGGGTTGCATCGACACCCGAACTAGTGATAGGATGTGAAGTAGTTGAGCGTGTCGAACGCTTCACTTATCTTGGAAGTCTCATCAGCCCTTGTGGTCTGGTGTGTGACGAAATCTCAGCACGGATACAAAAGGCTCGACTAGCTTTTGCCAACTTGCATCATTTGTGGCGTATGCGAGATATCCATCTATCAACCAAAGGACGTGTTTACTGCGCAGCAGTTCGTTCCGTCCTATTTTATGGCAGTGAAACATGGCCGGTAAGAGTATAGGATATTCGTTTGTTACTAGTATTCGATCATAGGTGTCTTCTAAGCACTGCTCATATATCCTGGGACCACCGAGTAAGCAACTCAGTTGTTAGTAAACAGGTACTAGGTAAGAATGGCAAATCAATTGATGATGTAGTGAAACTTAATCAGTTGAGATGGTTGGGATACATGTTACGTATGGCCAACCACCGACTGCCCCGACGAGCGATGTTTTATGGTGTAGGAGTAGGTTGGAAGAAAGCTAGGCGCGGCCAGACCAAAACATGGCACAAATCCATGAAGTCACTGACAAGTGGACTGAGCCGTGTTGTTAGGTGTAGACTACTTGGTTGGGGACCGCGAGATGATAGCAACCGATGGTTAGAAACCTTGAATGATATGGCTGGAGATTGTTTGCAATGACGCAGGTGAATCCACTCTTTATGTTCTCTCAAACTCTAATCTTCTGTATTCTTCATGTCCTTTATTTTCTTTCCGAATCTATTCCACTGGACTATACTCCTTAAATAACATCAAACCCTAATGTTCCCTATTACTACTTATACTTTCACTACCTCTACCACTACGGGATTTGAATCGATAATGCTAATGTGGTGTGGCAACTCGAACTGATGTACGTACGTACGAAGTTCCATGTTGTTATTGACTGACTGACTGTTTTGGAGCTTCTGAGTAAGATGATGTGGGTATCACACATAATTGGTCGAACCAGTCATCTTGGAATCTTTAGCCTACACGATTTTTTAATACTGATTTTAAATTCAGCCCGTATTTTACTACTAATTATGATCATATGCTTATTAATGACCAGATAGATTTCCTTTCATTCTTCTGGGAAACTGTTACATGTGGAGTCAAACAAGTCTAAATCATTATCTCACTGATGCCATTGGATCCGAGTCATTGTACTATATTATAAGTCGTGTAAAACTGTAGAAATAGACCATTTAATTCCAACTCGATGCTCTAAAGTTGTCATGTTCTACGAAAAAAGTAAAGGTCTTTGCTTCGTTCTCCGTTAGGTTTGGAAGTACACTCTACTACGGAGTGCCGAACTAGAACGACATAACTGTACATTGCTCCTTGATTTTCAATAGCTTTTCAACCGAATTCATTTTGGATCGATAATTGCTTTCTAATCGTACAAAGTATTCATCTACCTTAGTAAAAGCATGTTATTCAAAAACATATTGTGGGTATCTTGTTAATACCGTTTTGTAGGTATCTAACACAATTAGAAGTGGATTATGATCCTGGTTGGTTATGTTTGACATATTTCAAGGATTGGCTGATCGATCAACTACGTAATTACCAACGTATATCTCATCAGGATATGGTAGATGGTAATTCAATGAAAAATAAACAGTTTGATGGTTCTAATATCATTGGTAATCTTCTCTCGGTGGATAATAAATCGTCTATAATGAATCCTGATTCATTCATCTTATTTGCTGAAGGTTAGTAAGCTGTCTCCCGCGTCACGTTGCTAATCGGAATAGTTTAATTATAACTATGAATATCAACATTCTCTTTTATTTTTGTAGGCGTTTTACTAATATTATAATTTGTACAATTTCATCTTTTAACACTGTGGATACAATGAGTTTGTGTTTTACAGAATTGTCAGTAACGAATGGAGTATCAGTACGGGGCTGTGGAGATAGTTTGATTCTTATTAAGGTCAAAAACCAATCTAAGTTAGGCTCAGTGTTCTAGAGGTCAAGCGTCCTCATGTGAGACCAGAGGTCCTGGCTCTGGTTTCCGGTGCACAGTTGTGCACACTGACTGCTAAGGAGGACAGAACAGGTGTCCAGTACTTCCAGGTTTTCACTGGTTGTTTAACTTTGACCGGTTCGTGATGTTTATAAAAATAAAGAAGTATATCGTTCAATATGTAGATGGTGTTTAATCAGCTTATGTATCAATTAAGATTTCTCACATTATTTTAGTTTCTTTGCTATCTGTTAAGGCATTTCATCGAATATTTTGTTATTAATTAAATAGAAAATCCTAGTATTTAGACATTAATATCTCCACGTGATTTGTTGATAACTAATCTTAACATTGATACTATAATAAACAAAGACTTGGGTGGAGTAAACGAATTTATTGTTTTATGAAAAACCACACAGTGCCTTTGTAAAATATAATGACCGTACATCATTTGCACATCTTCGAGTTGTCCTTTACACTGTCCATCATTCTTCCAATTGTTGTTATTCTGATTGCTCTCTGTTAACCTCCGTCTTCTGCTTGTTTCAATTTTCTACTGATAAGTATTTTACTACCTATTCCTACTACGTACTAATTATATCTTCCTGCATAAATAATGCACACCATAATACCTGTAAATTCCAAATTAACTACATAAATCGACAAAGTTTAATCCATTTCACATTCCAATGTCAACTCATTCCTGTGGTAGATCCGAGAAGAATTGTGGTGTAGTATGAGATCTATGACAAATGCCAATTGTATCATTTCGTACAGTTGAAGCAGTTTTTACCTATCCCACCCTTTAAGGTTAGTAAATTCTAGATTTTAGTTAGAAACATTGGTGGATATTGGTCTAAGTGTAATTGTTATTACTACTTCATCAAGTTTTGGTGGTATGAAATTTTTGTAACTTGAAACAGAATAACTTTGTTGTGTACATAGCCTAGAAAAATTGTTTACTTCTTATGTATTGATGGATAGTCCTTATGGTTATTAGAAAAATTACATTATAAATAATGATAACCGATTATCGAATACTTTATAAACAGATATATTAAGTATTTATTTGGTAGCATATCAGTAATAGCAATCTATCAAAAAGTGAATTTTGTTCTCTTACTTAACCCGTTTAGTCAGTATCAATGCCAACGTCAGACTTGATAGTTTCAAATAAATTGAGCATTAGGTAGAAAGTTAATAATAAATATACTATTTGCGAAATCTTAGTAAGTAGAAAACTGTGTTTTTGATGTTTCGTGACTTGATATAAGCCACTTCGACTCATGAATTCAACTATTAAAATTTCTAATTACCAATGTCAGTTATTCAAATATAGATGGGATTATTATTATTATTTATTTATTTATTTATTTATTTGAACACGTAATTATTGGTACAATAGGACACCAAATATATATGCACCACACAAAACAATGAGAAAGAGAATATAAGGTACGTATAAGAAAAAAAAGAGAACGATAACCATTACAGATTAGTGTATGGTAGTGTAATAATAATAATCGGGGAGACGGAAAGGTACAATTGGAATGATTCTTTCAGTTAACGAAGATACAACCACTTTCCATGAAAAAGTAAAAGGTTACAGCAGGATCGCCACTGGCTTCTATTCTGAGCCATATCTAATAATGTCTCTAGCCACTGTGTTGCACCATCACTCGAACCCCAGTCAAGGAGTAGAGAATGACCAGCAGAAGCCAGCCCCTTGCAGCTTTCTTTCATACCACGACAGCATGTCATACTCTGAGCACCTCCCCGCTTTTTCCAACCAGTCCAGCGTTGGCAAATAAAACACGACGTGGAATTCTCTGGGACGACATTCGTAGAACATGTCCAAGCCACCGAAGTCGGTGTTTCAAGATGGCGACACCAATTTCATTATCGTCTCTGTGACCGAACACACGATGCCGAACCTCTGCATTACTAACATGTTGTTGCCACTGGATGTCAGCAATCCTTCGGAGACAGCGATGATCGAACACAGAGTCGTCTAACATCCCCAACTCAGAGAGGCCAGGTTTCACAAGCATAGAGCAAAACTGCTCTCACTGACGCGTTGTAGATCCAACCTTTCACAGCCAAACTAACATCACGAAGGCGCCAAAGATGGCCCAGATTGGCATAAGCGGCTCTGGCTTTCACTATACGTGCATTGATCTCATCACTCACACCACCACCAGCACTTATGCAGCTACCTAGATACACGAACTTCTCGACCACTTCTATCTGCTCACCATCCAGAGTGAGTACAGGATTAGAATCCTGCCAGTCTTGTAGAAGTACTTTGCACTTCGAAGGTGCAAAGCACATACCATACCTACGGACACTGATTGCCAACTGATTAAGTGCGGATTGCATGGCTTGGGCATTCTCGCACAGTAAGACAATATCATCCGCATACTCAAGGTCGAGAAGTCTTTCTCCAGGCAACAGATCCACACCACCATTACTTACATCCGTCAGAGCTGTTTCCAGAATGTCATCGATGGCAAAGTTGAAGAGGAATGGTGAGATTGAGCAACCCTGCCTAACCCCACTGCTTGAATGGAATAATGGAGAAAGGTGGTTGTATGCCTTCACTCTGCCTGAGGTGTTTGTATATAGGGCTTTTAGGATGTTAATAAACTTCTCAGACACACCCTTCTTCAATAGACAATCCCAGAGAACAGTTCTGTCCAACGAATCGAAGGCAGCCCTGATGTCAAGAAACACTAAGATTGTTGGCCTTTCATAAGTATGGCGGTGTTCTAACATTTGGCGGAGGGTGAAGATATGATCAATACATCCTCGACCAGAACGAAACCCAGCCTGCTCCTCGCGAGTCAATAGTTCTCGGGTTTTGAACAACCTACGAAGTATGATGGAAGCCAATAGCTTGGACGCAATCGGAAGTAGACTTATCCCCCGATAGTTGTTACAGGAACAACGTGAACCCTTTTTAAAGATAGGGACAACTATCGACTCATTCCATGACATTGGTACACTTTCTGGTTCCTAGACCTTTGTAAACAACGTCGTCAGTCCCTTAGTCAGAAAGTCACCACCATCTTTGAGAAGAGCCAGAGGTAAGTCATCTGGGCCCGGTGATTTGTAGCGTTTCAAGAGTTGGAGTTCCTTGCGGACTTCCGCCTCATTTCGTGGATCAGTCGTCATCGGCCATGGAGGGCAGGACAGTCTGACCGATGTTGCCGGAGCAGCAGGCCAGTTGAACTGCCCTTCGAAAAATACTGCCCATCGTCCAAGATGTCGATGGATGTTAGTGATTGGCGTTCCGTCATCCTCACAGATTGTTTCGCTCACACCAGACTTCTTGCTGCCAGTGGCTCGGATGAGTTGGAAGAGCTTCCGGTAATTACCAGATGCAACTGCTGCTTCCAGCTCATTAGTACGCTCCGACCACTAGGCTTCTCGGTCCTTACGCAAGCTTTGCCCGATTTTATTACGTAACATCCTTTGTTTGTGGTCAAACTCACGGTCACCCGGGGTAGACCGACGGGCTTCAATGAGTTGTAGGGAGCCTGAAGAAACCCAGTGCTTATAAGCGGGACGTTTCGCGAACCCACAACTGACTTTACCCGCCATTTTCATGGCGTCATGCAATTGCAACCAATGCTCATCTATACTTTTCGGTGGAATGGTAGCTAGCCTAGAACTTAGATCGGTTCGATGCTTACTAGCAACAGAAGTTGCAACCAGCTTGCTAACATCAATCCTGTGGTGGCGGTCACTTCGTTGGTCACTGAAAAGTAAGGTAAGATTGGCGCAGACCAAGGCATGATCAGATTCCAGATAGGTACTCCAAAAGGAGCGGCAGTCTTGTACACAACCACGCCAGCGGTAGCTGATCGCGATGTGATCAATCTGAGTCCAGGCTTGAGATACAGATGGAGGACGCCAGGTGGCACATCGGCGATGACTGTGCCGAAAGTTAGTGCTAGCCAGAAACAGGTTGTGGTCTGTGCACAGTTGCAGTAGACGGTCCCCGTTATCTGTCCTGCGACCAACAAGTCCCCATCGGCCACCTAAACGACTCTCTTCTGTGCCTAGACGCCCGACCTGAGCATTCAAGTCTCCAGCTAGTACTACAATATCTGTCGAACGCACTTTCTGAAGAAGAACAGATAACTTGTGGTAGAACTCATTCTTAATTGCATCCGGGCTGCAATCTGTCGGAACATAGGCGGAGACATCGTTTCTCACACCGATTTCTTCTCACTTTGATGGAACATTCTAATCTAACAGCACATAACCGTCTGTTAATGGGGATCCAGTCGATTAGTGCTGCCTCAGCTCTAGCGCTTAGTGCGACACCAACGCCAGCAAGACCAAACGAAGATGCCACAGGGTCCCCGGATAAACGCACGTAAAACAAGCTTTTTGAAGTGACAGATGGAGAGCGAATTTGTAGTACTTCACCAGAGTCTTGAATACGGGTCTCGGATAGACAACAAACGTCGATATTAAGACTTTCCAAAGACATAGCCAGCCCTATTTGTTGTCCGACCTGCATAAGTGTGCGAACGTTGAAGGTAGCCAGTTTTAATGGTGCACGCGGTTTCAGAACAACTGCTTCAGTACTCTTATTCGGTGGTAACCTACAATTTTCAACCAGGCAGTGACTCAAGAACGTTTAGATAGAGCGGAATTTCCACCATAGGCTAGCTGCTGTACAAGTCAAAAAATAAGGATAGACAGAGCGGAAATAAAAGAGAGTGAATAGATGACGTGGTAAATAATAATAATAATAATAATAATAATAATAATAATAATAATAATAATAATAACAGTAATAATAATAATAATGCGAGTCATTTGATTGTTAATCGGAGCGAGAAGAATATTTTCCATAAGTAGACAGTTCATCATGTTTTTGTGTGTGGGCTGTGATACTGCCCGGGTGCCCAGACCAAAGCAGGTGGTTTTCTTAGAGGGCCACACCCTAAGCCTTTGACCTAAAGGTCTAATCCACAAGGCAGTGGAGCATCCCATGGTAGCCGGTGACCTAGAAATTGGTTCATGCGCCATTTCTTCCTTTAGGATACTGGAGCTCATGTGCAGCATTGGTTTGTGATCCGGTTAAAGCGCCGGACATTCGCTTTTCGTCCTCTGATTTTCGTAAACAACACCCCGCCACGAGAAGGCACTGAGTAAGACTTCCCCAGCAAAGGCTGTATACGCGTGGCCGTGTGAAAGCATTTCGAAAGTGAGGGCGGGCCCATCCCACTCTCGGCCATACCAGGGCATTCGGGGGTAAAGTTGAAAAGGTAACCATTTGTCATATTTATCACTTATATTGTCAATTTACAGTTCATTATTCATATAATTTCTATACCGAAGGTTTTTTACTACAATATCAACCATATATAAACACTAATATTATAAAACGAATATACATCAAATTCACTTTTTCTTATAATTTAGACTTTTATGGTGTCCCACCAATGGTTGGTATGGTGAAAGCAGTATGTCGTTTACTTACTACACATGTTATTCAATTTTGGCGTCTGGGTACAGCTTATATTTCGGGGCAGTTAAATTACAACAACCAAGTTGGTTTTGAAAGTGTTCATTTAACAGTGTTTCATACTTTTATTTAACCGTTGTATATAAAGAATGTGAAATGAACATAGAAAGTAGCCACTATTATTATTATTATTAATAATAATTAGCCAATGTAGTTCATAATTAATTTCAATTTTTGAAAGTCTTCTGTTTGTAAAAAATGAATTATTGGAGTTACATCTCTTATGAAATCATCATATTCCTTACTTATTCATTTGTTTAACATAATTAAAATGGTTAGGATTCAAAATACTATTAAATTAAATTTGTTTAATATATGTAACTATCAGTATTGATCCTCTTCTATATAATATAAAGTATGCATTCACTCAAATTATAACTATTATATGTACATATAATTCTGTTAATGTGGTGACCTAGTGATTAGCAGAGAGCACTAAATTTTTGACCATTACATTATAGATTTGAAAGCCAGTCATTCTATTTTAGTTCAAATAGGGAGTAATATTATATTATTAACCTCAGAAGGCTCACAGGAGACTGATACATAAACATGTATTTGGTAAGTTGGATTATTATTATCATAGCATTAGATTGATACAAATATCTATCAGTTTGTTTCTTTTTCTATACACAGAAATCCTATGATAAACTTGGTCAGACGTCGTCAACAAACGATCCCAAAGCGGCATGGCTGGTAATTTATTAAATTTTATATATATATATATATATATATATATATATATATATATATATAGTAGTTTAATTCATGAGTCAGTTGAAGCTAGACCATCATGGAAAACCTGGAAGCAGTGAACGGCCGTTTTGTCCAGGTTGACATTGAACACCACCCAGTGATCAATCAATTGTGATTACATCTCAGTCGTACAGGAGGTTGGTCGCGGCCAGATAGCTCAGTAGTAACGTTTCTGACTGTGAAGCTAGATGACACGGGATCGAATCCGTCAGGGAGCACCAGTTCTCTCAAGATTACAGGTACACCTTGCTGACGAGTGCCAACTAACATGAAACCCGGGTCCAGGATTTCCTGTGGAATACCTCTAACCGCCATCTAATCTCAACATAGGGCACGCAATGTCGAGTCACCTAGACTGGTGGCCACATTGCAACTTGGTCGATAGCATTCGATCTGCACTAATAAGGACTTTACACACATGACATTGATCACCGCCCAGTCGTCAATAAATTGTGATCAGGGTCAGTTAATTTAGATAACAAGTTTTAGTATTTCTCCTACACAACTTTTTATTTCTTCTTCTTGAATCATATGCTCAATGTTTCTTCTTTCTCATTATCATTGCTACTTCGATTATTATTCTTTTTTTGCTATTTAATCCAATTGATTTTGTTTCGTTTTATTATTGCATGAGAACTTGGACTTATGTACGTTTGTCTTAGTCTTCACGTTGATTACAAACGACTAACTCGTTGATCAGTTGGAAATACTCACGTTTTATTATTTATGCATCATGATTGGGTCCAACGTAATTACCTGTAAAGTATATGCCTAAATATTTTATCATTCCTTTTTAAATCTTCCACTGGTTTTTATTCTAAATATTTCAGCAAATTAATTTAGAACTTGTACACTCTGTGTCCAATCACATGCGTGATATTGTTCTTGAAGCTTTCAGCACTACATCTAATGAAACTTCATTAACTGATCATTTATTAGAGTGTATAAAAGAATATAGGTACGTCAGTTTTTTATAAATGTGTTTAATTATTCTGCTTATGGTATTAATAACTAGTTAGAATTATGGTTATAATGTTCAGATTGTGTAAGTGTTACAGAAGGACACATAATCTTAAAGCGGAATGGAAACATAAATGAGCTCATTATTTAACAGAATATCACGAATCAATTATAATCCTAACTGATAATTAAAAAAAATGGTTTTAATTCTTGACTATATGTAAGTATAGCTACAACAGTTCTCATAATTGGTGTGTTGTCTCTAGGCTTTTTGAAATCGTTTTTGTAATGGTTGTTTAGATCTTCCCATTGATGTTCAGGACTGCAAATGATCAATTAATTATTGGAATATGTGCATCATGTGTGGATATACTGGATATTGCCTTAAGTCACAAGCATTATAAGCAGAATATATATATATATATATATATATATATATATATATATATATATATACCAATACAAAAATGAATTAAACTTCACCCCATTGCACAAGCTTTTGGCTTTCTGGGCTTAGTAGCTAAATGGATAATGTAATGGCGTTTGAAGCGAACGGTACTGGGTTTGAGCCCCGAAATAAACATCAACTCTGGTATATGGCTACAACCAGCTGACTTAGACCCACCATCATCTTTGTTTACATTTTGGTTGTTATTATACTTCTGTCTTAAACTATGCAAAAATCAACTATTCTTTCAATAAGCATTTTAAACAAAGATGGATAGTGGCTAGCAGTAGGATTCAGGACGCGCGTGTCGTCCTATTCGGGACTCGAGTCACAATATCGAGGCAATACGCACAGTATGCACATATGCCAATAAGAGACTGACCAATTGCAGTCTTAAACATCAATGGGGAGATTCAAGTAAAATAATACCAAGTGAATTATTCTCTTAGTGTTTTGCAATTTTCTTTATCATTCCATATATCGTAAAGATTCAAATTGTTAGATAATTTCATGGATTTGGAAAAACTGTTCTAATCAGTATCTATTTTGAATTTTATTATGATCAGTCATTAAATCCTTTATTAATAGTGTGTTCCTTTGACGTTAAAAGTTGTACTTTACTTATAGCCAACACTTCGTAATTGTCTATATCTAAGCATATTTACACAAACTTTGTTCACAATACCGATATTGATCTTAGTTCGAATTACTTTTTTAGAGCAAACTTATAAATGCTGTTTTAATTTATTTTGTGTTTACAATTCATGACTAGGTGTACTATGAGTGTCGTAATCATATCCAGATTAGTGCAACTGATTTTAGACCACACAATATTAAAACTAGTACTAAGTCGACCACATTAATACAGTAGATATGTGATATGAAGGTTATTTATGATTTATAAATTAGATATTCATGTTGTATTCCGTTATTGGGGTTTAGTGCGAGGATTGAGCTGTTCCGATATAATCAGTTCTCTGCGTAATCGACCATGGCAATTTATAAACAGCACATCAATACGCGGCGGCTAGCATAAGGAGAAGTTGAATCGTAAGAAAATTTGATATTCGAGGTAGAACAAGCAGTTCAAAACGAACTGGTATAACTCGTAAATATATAATAACAAAATATGACCTTCAAACAGACGAATTTAGCGAACTAGAAGCCATAACGACCAAGCACAAAAAGGTCATAGGTAAAATTGAATTAGCGAAAGTACGTGGGCGGTTATCGTTTTTGAAAAGATTTCAACACTTAGTAAAGATTGACTATTCTTGTAATTGCCTTAGCAGTATATGAAGTGTTTTGTGTGACAGACAAAGATGTGAATTTGTAAAATGATTGATGAGGGTCCTCGCAACTAACCCCAACCAATGATTGGAGATATTCAGTGATATTTGTCAGGATCGATCACAATGACGCCAATGCATTCACCTTTTGTTTTAAAATACAAATACTTTTCATCCCACAGATTCATTCATTCTTCTCTAATCATATAATTTATTCCTAATTTTTCATGCTACTAATACTAATACTGTTACTTCTACTATACTGGTATTTATCTGGATAATTTCCTCTCATTGTGCTGATATAGTGTAGCAACTTTAACCAGTGCGCACATGTTCTAGGTTCCACGTTAGTTCTGACTTTAATGATTGGTTTCATATTGTTATGCTTTATTATTTCGTTCTTTGTATAATCCGTTGTGATCAATATTTTTGTGTAATTTTGGGTGTCTGTGAGAAAACTGATTTAAACAAAGAACTTTAAGTATTCCTTGTACTGTATTTTATTACCAAACTATAGCTCTATTTTCTCACATGTTTCTTTTCATAATTCTGCTTATTCTCACAGTGAGTTTAACAAATGGACATTATTTTCTTCCGTGGGAAATCGAAATAGATATAATGGTTACATGAAGTATTAATTCTGTATACTGTTTAATAACATATTTAGTCATTATCCTTCCCTACCTATATTACATGAGATCTTCAGTTTTTACTTCTGTAATAAAAACGATGATATCCCAGACATAAAATCAACAGTCTTCAGTGTAGGCTATTCTGTATGTGGGTCCAGTTTCGAAACCCCCGGTGCGTGGGTTCAAATCGTGAACTTTTTTAACGTAGCTGCTACCTTGATACTGTGGTTGTGCACACCTATGCTGATAACCTAAATGGAGGATAATCATTTGAGCACTTGTTTCTTATGATCTTACTATCCAAGATATGGGGGAGGGTTGGTGAATGTAATATAAAAACTAATAAACGTCAGATGCCAGGTTTAATTAATACCATGGTCTACAGGAATATGGTAGCACCATATTTACTACAGATATCTAACATATAACTGTTCCGCCTTCCCACAGATGGAAAGAGACAGTTCGACAACGTCAATATTAAAATTATAACTCCTCTCGTCATACAGCTATTTAGTATTTTTTATGCAGCTTAAAAGTGCTGATCCCGAATTTCAAAAGTAATCACTCAGTAAATGGTCGTGCGTAACCGGTCTCAGTCCACTGTCTCTTCAACTTCTCAGTCATACTTGCAGGTTGATTAGATCGTTGACAACAGTGCAAAATTCTAAATTCGTCAAGAAAAAAACATTCTTCCACAATGTAGAGATCAAGAAGCTTTGATTACCTAAGCTACTCTACTTTGCAAACAGTTTTTCATTTCTCAATCTTTTGCCTGGCTCCCTGCTCTCAGCACCTTAATTTCCAGCTTAGTCTTTTCCCAGATGTCAAATCAATGCTAACAATTAGGGATGACGATATTTTATCCTTGGTCTTCTGAAACCGAATCCCAAACTCCTTATCTCAGTTTTCGATGTTCAGGTTTTGCATGTAATTAAACAATGAGATTCACTAATCAAAACTCCGGGATCCTGTAGCTTAAATGTTTGCTTTGTCTTTGAAAATGCCGTGTCGGACTTATACGTTGTTATTCACATAACCTCATCTCATCAATATAGGGGATGCACACATTATGATACGTTACCACTTCCTCTTGGTTTCATGGTTGCTGATACACAATTAAGTTTGAAAACAAAACAAAGACTTTTGTACTAAATCCTAGCTGAATGTTATATGTATGGCGTTAAATTACTTAAAACTATAAGTACTCGAAAACATCGAGATATAGATCACTGCTTATTTGTCATTATTGCCCATACTTTTAATAACATGATAGGTAAAAATATCCGATTGCAGTGTAATATTAAGTGAAAATGCTGAATCTTTTAAGAGAGTAAAATCTCAGAACCAAACACCTATGGATCATCGTTCTTTTAATATCCTTATTATAATGTGATATCTATTAGTGCATATTAACTGGGGAAATTGCCTTTGTTACATCTGCACAATAAAATAATGAACTTCTTTTTGACTTTACATATGTTTGCTATTACTGAGTTTTCTGTGTTCAAACACAAGGAATTTCTTGAACTATCACTTTATATTTTAGAGCTATCTGATAATAACCATCGTGTATTTCTTTTCAAAGATTCATGTTATAGTGTATATTGTGAACTGGCCTTAGACAACTATTGAAAATCTAGAAGCACTGTGTAATTGCTCTATCCTAATGCAAGATTTCTCGAAAATATAAAACCTTGGATACCGATTTACTAATCTAAAGATTCGATCCTTAGTGTGTTTGAGGGTACGAGCTGTTGAAGGGTCTCATAATAGGAGGAAACAGTTGTTCAGTGCTTCGTGGTTTTTAATGATTCTTTAGCTAAGACCAATCCATGCTGTAAACTATGAATCTGAACACTTCACAAGTTTTCTATACTTGTAATGACCACGTGCCTGTTAGTGACTAATTTCAAGGTTAGGTTTGTTAAGCTATTCAGTTTATACACTTATTTCTCCGATTTTTTTCTTCTACATATTCTTAGACAATGTTGTAGTTCCCTGCCACTGTCAGAGATGTCATCCGAAATCTGTGATATATTTGCTAAACTTGCTTATGATCTACGTAAACTTGCTGTTCGTGGGATATTTCTTCGTGCTCAACTTAGTAAGTTGTGAATATTTTAATTTAGTGGTCATATATTACTATCTTAATCAAAAACATACTCGTCATTTGAATCAATAACAAAAAGTTCAACATTTAATTTTTTTATTTAAGTAAAATAAAGTTATACGAATATTCATCAAGATTAGAACAAATAGTTTGACAGATATTGGGCGCCGAGTATAGAGAAGTCATTATAATGAATAAAATAAAGTTAGTTCTCAACAGTGTAAACATTAATATTGATAATTATTTTACATGTAATATCGTGTATGCTGATAGATATAAGTAGTATGTAGCCACAATGGAAGTGGAATGCATCGCAGCAGAAGATTGAATTGAAGAGAACAGAGCGATCAAGATAACAAAAGAATTGGGACAATCATGAAGCCTGTAAACGACAACTGAACGAAGATGTACAAATAATGTATATAATGTATAGTTTCCATATTTTACTATGACACTAATTTTGCATGAAACAATAAATACGTTTCATCCACCTGAGTTCTCATTCATTACAGCAGTAGTCTATAGAAAGTTGTTATGTTATTAACATTAGTATCAAAAGTTTATTTTCTATTTTGATCACTATTATGTGCAAAGTAAATTTACAGTAAACTTTATTGTGTAGCTTGAGTAAACGATATCATGGAAAAAGAAACTTGTTCACCAATTAAATGACTCATTGAGTTTCTTTCATTGTTTTCTAATTTCTTGGCGCGTATTTATTCCTTTCAATTCATGATAAACATTTATACTAGGAAAATAGTTATAATTTAAAGTCATATTTTTTCAAGGGATAAAAATTTATTATGTCAGCTGAGTGGAATTAAAGAAATTAATGTACATTAAGCAGATCACTATTAGTTTATATCAGAAAAATAACGTAACATTTAATCTGTAATATTTAAGTAATTGTCTAATGATAGTTTATTGAAACTAATCTGCTAATTGGGTTGATTTTTTTTGTCGTTACTTAAAACAAAACACAAACTAATCTCTTTATTTTTGTTGTTGTTTGGTTTGTCATTTTTTGTGTAATTCATTATGATTATTAAGTTGGTAGCTCAATATCGTCGATTGATTGAAGTTAGACATTAAAACTTTCGGATCCTGACTCAGTGGTTTAGGGGTTAAGCGTATGTGCGCGAGACCAAAGGTCATGGGTATTTGAATCTCAAGTACGGGATCGTGGATGCACACTGTTGAGGAGTTTCATACTGGGACGAAACAGCTGTCCAGTGTTTTCAGGTTTTCAATGATAGTCTAACATTGATCGTTTCATGGTCTTAATTATTTATTAATTCTTTTAAAATGGTAAATTTTAGCTATTGAAACGTTACAAATTAAAGAAAGATGGGATGTGGATTTAACTGATACTGATGGTGGAATTACTAAACTTGTATGTATTAATTTTTATATTTTGATTAGTCATAAAAAATTAATTAAACCATTAATGCATTTTAATTGGGTATATGTTAACATTGATTATGATTATTGTAACAGTGGTGAACAATATCATACTCTCTTGTTTTTAACATATAATCAAATTCTATCGATCAAATTACAATTTAGCTACTATTGTAAATTTAAATCTCATGGCAGAGGGATGGGTTGGAAACAGTTTCTGAAAGATTGTTGGTAAATATTACTGACGAGTGCCAACTAGCAAAAATACTCAGTGCATGTTTTCCTGCTTATTACTTTCAACTATTCGACATCAAGTATATAGTAGATTGCTTTTAGCTTTTAAGTTTATAAAATGCTGTGAATTTCATTTTGAGTTATCTGTTAGGTTGATGTAAATATATTATTCATTAAAAAAATTATTTGTGGGCTAGAGCTTGATGTGTAGTGTTTAGTTTGATTAATATTAGGTCAGATGATATATAGGGTTAGATAAAATAAATATGTAATGTCAGTCAATGAAGTTCTCGACTGTTTAACTGAGATGCTACTATATTGTTAGGTTGAGATTTGTTTGCTGATATCTTCATAGTCTACAACTTGAGAAGCTGAATGACAAGATCCAAAATCCAATCTTAGTACTACAATGTTCTTGATTTTCTCTAAATTTTAAATCTGAAGTGAAGCATCGTCTCAATTTCCTTCGATGTCTTTCATTCATTTTAAATCATATTTCTTATGTTTAACTTTCCTTCGGATTTATTACTGGGTTCCTCTGTTCTGCTTTATATCTTGTTAATTTCTTTAATGTGCTAATGACCAATATGAATACTTTATGTTAGGTCATACACTGTCTGTCATACTGATTTAAATGTTGGCCATTTGAACAAAGTAAACTGTATTACGTCTATTTGGATATTACATTTTTAAAACAATTTGAAATTAGATTCATAACTTATGTAAAATAATAATCTTGATTGATTAATGAATATTATGATCAGTGTTGCGTGTGCCTAGTCCTTACTAGTGATTGTGTCTATCAAGTTGCGATGTATTCATTAGTCTAGGTGACTTACCGTCACACTCACTGTGTATTGATTTTAAGCGGGTGTAGTTAGTAGATTGGAAACCATAATTGTCAGTAAGTCATACTTATAACTTTGCAGGAATTAATCCTCCTCGTGTAATTCAAACTTCAACACCCATCTTTGGAGTGTGACACGTTATAATAGAGGTATTTGAGCTGCTACTGATCTCTTGTAGACTTTCTTTCTGACTGCTAATTGACTATGTTCTACACTATGTATTCTAAAATATTTTTCTCTTTGTTTAAAGCCTCTATTGTATGAAGATATTATTGCTGACTCATTCATTCTTTGTGAAGATCAAGTATTTCCGAGAACATCAATAGAAAAACCAGTAAGTACAAATAACTACTAAATGTTAAACTACAGTATTTGTCCCATTATGAATAGTAATATTTTTCATAAATCTAGATTATAATTAGTCAATTTGTTTTTCTCTATTTTCGAATTCAAACCTTACAATTTTCTGACTTAGTTGTATAAAGATTATCATAGATCCAAGTGGAAGAATTCCAATTTATTCTTTTGTATTCATTTAATTAATTGAACTAATAATTTACAAATAGGACAAAACATGCCTCTTAGATTCCACTACTCTAGCTATAATCTATCTATTCTATATAACTTATAACAAAATAGATGTATCTAAGTAATCCTCATATAATACATATATATACCAATAAAGACTGATCAAAAGTTAGTCATGATTATTAACAATTAGATAACTCCAAACACCTACTCTTCATAATGTTGAATTGATGGATTTTCACAAGCAAACTCATCTATTTAAATTAATCAAACCACAAAATTTTTGTAAGTTTTCATTACTGATATTGAACTTTCTGTAGATTGTATCTATTAGGTTCACCTATGGTAATTAGAATAAAAGTTTAATTATATATTAATAAGCTGTCTTGAATTTGTATATAAATAAAAAGGCATTATATGTAAGTGATATATATTACAACAATTACGTCTAGTGTTTATCATTTGATTAATTAAATGATTCGATTTTATTACAAGTTCATCATAATTTTGACTGAATTCAAACATATATTGGTCTTTTAACATGATATGATTGAATATAGTATTTTGATCATATTGAAGTATCGATGATGAAAAACAGTCACATGTTGATTAGCTTAAAGTGAACTGCTATATACTATTCTCTTTTCAATTGTTAAACTCATATCTTCTATTTGGATTCACAGGTTAGTTGATTTCTTCATCAAACATAACTCTGTGTTTGAATGTATTGACATCAATATATAGGATAGCTTGACTGATCAATTTTTGTCATGTATTTTTCTCAATAGTATGGTGATGGGTTGTCTTCACTAGTTAAATTATTCATGATAGGCATCCAGGACGGGAATTCACTGAATGGTGTTTTGAAATCATTACTGGAATGATACGACTTAAGTTCTTCTAATTTTGCTTAATTTATAAAATTCGTTAACTGTTTATTTGTTAATTAATATTTTGTTTCATTTAGCTTTTTGACTCTGATGAACTTCAAGAACGTTTTCCAGAATGGTCCGGAATAGGAATGATTAGTTTTATCGCAGTATCACAACGTTTAGCTGATCAAATTGAGTAAGTTGACATGAAAGGGAGTTATACTTTTTACCAACTGTATTGTATTTTTAGTCTAAGAGTTCTCTGTATTTTTGAATGTTTGATTTGTTAATTTTTAAAATTACTATGAAAAACTCAAAACAGTCTTGTTTTAAACTTTATAAGAAGCTTGGTGTTTGCTCATATGGTGTGAAATGCTCATGTGCAATACGAATTCGTTTTTAAAAGTGTACAATTACAAATTTTAGTGAGATAATTTAGAGACAAGGGAATATTGAACAGATGCTTTATGCTAATTTTGAACTGTTTATTAGTGTACATAAATAAAACGGTAGCTATTGATAGGAAATCGGAATCCAGCGTTCTAGAACTACGGTTAATTCCAGGCAGTTGGTTCCCTTCACAAATTTAAATAGTGCTCGAGCGACAATATTTGTTCTGTTTCATTTGGGTGTCTTGTTATGATTTTAAATCAAAGGGGTAGTATTCTATGAAATAATTCAACAATGTTAATTATCATTGATTCTGACTAACAACATTTACCTTCATTTAGATGTTTCACACAGGATCGTTGTGGTATATTTTTTATTTGACCATCTGAGTGGATTACGTCAGCAGACTTGTGAGTTACATGCCAAGTGACAAAAGCTTCACATTGAGTCCTATTCAACTACATGTCAAATAGGTTAAATGTATATTTTTCTGGACTGTCAGAAAATTCTTCAATCGTTTTCTCCAAGGCTAAAGCTCTCGATAATACTTTGTAGATAGTTTTATCTGTCATCTGTTGTACATATGGAAGGAAGATAATAAATTTTACCGGATATACTGTGTTAAGTCCATTAATATAATTGTTAAATTAACTACTTGTCAATTTACGATTCTGTATAAAGATGAGCATCCTCATTCCTTGCTGACATCAATTCCACTGCCTACATAATTGAAACTTATGGTTTACAGTTTTTTCAACTTGGACAAAACAACAAGTCGGTTTATCCCAGGTTTTCGATTGTTTCCGAATTTCATTGTTGTTATAGCAGAGCTAGTTATAATTTATTTTGTAATATACTTGTATCCCCTTATTATTACTATTATTATTATTATTATTATTATTATTATTATTATTATTATTCATTATTCTACAATGAAGAGAGCCGTTTATTTCGTTGGTGCCCACATTCTATGCGAAAGTTTATACGTGAAATTCCACTGACAGAATTATATTACTAGAATGTCGCTTAAAATCATAAAAATATTGTTTTTACCATTGATATTTATTGCGTATACAGATGGTGTTTTTAGTATGAAAATAGGTGTATGGTTTTGGATAAAATATAAACAATAATCTGTTTGGCAGTTTATTTCATATCTAAAACTGTCTGAAGTGATCGTCTTATTATTGGTCATTGGTGTCATCTAGGTTCTCACTCACATAGTTCATATTCACATAATAAGTAGTTTTCAGGTTGGTCGCAACACTTACTCAGCAGTATCCATCTCTGATTGTTTTCCGCAGTACAAAGATTTTCTTTTCATACTTGGAACATGATTTTGATAACTTGTTACATAATTTCCGACTTTCTACAGTCAATCTTTCTATCTCCTTTTCTGATAATTAAACCTAATGGGTTTTCTAAGAGTGAAATGGTTGTAAATAACTGATCATGAGTGTATGAAATTTATTACATGATTGAATCTATATCGTTGCATCTTGTTATATATATATATATATATATATATATATATATATATATATATATATATATATATATATATATATGTTAAAGAATTATGAAATAGTCTAATTTCACATCACTAACAATATTATGATAGAACACTCATATAGAATTAAGCGTATCGTTTTAATTCATTCGTCAGTTTGATTTGTTAAAAGTCTGTTAACATATTCAGTTTCGGTTTCATCCATTCTCTGCTGTAATGAGAATTCAAATGAATCGACTAACGAGTTTTCAATGTTTATAATGAAAGGAAATTAAATGTTTATCAATAAATGTACTCAATCAACTGATGTAGGCGAGTGATGGTTACTTACGAGACCGTGTAAATCCTCGAATAATTAAAAATCTTTTATGGTTACTAGTGAGTGAGACTAGAAAATATTGAGTTTAGCAATAATTACTGATTTTTAGTCAACCTCATTTTGCAGATGATGATAATTATTCTATAATGTAAATGACCACTTCACCAAAATTATGTCGGTGTAATCAGAAAGTTAATGTTATGAGTGTAGGCAGTCATCACTCTTGGTCTCAGGATGTTATCTGATTTTCTAATATTTACTACTAGGCTGAAACTAATCGACCGCAAACTGTGATTAATGTTGATTTTTTAGAGGATAACTGATGAAAGTTCAAATTCCTATCTCTAAAGGTCTAAAGGTTTAGCGTTCGTGCGCAAGATCGAAGGTCTTGAGTTCGTACCCTGGCGGAGTTATGGATGTGCCTGCTTAGGATTCCCATACTGCATAGTGGGACGCGATAATCGGTTCACGATTTTAATGAAACCCGACAATCTTCACAACCTCTTAATGACGACGAACTGTTTTTCCTGCATCCATAAGTGCTTATCATCAAACCCTATAAATTTTGTAACCCACATAATTGCTTATTGAATATTTCTCACAAAATGTTATTTTTATCACTTGAAGGAGTTCTTGCATCAGAAGTAGACCGTAAATTATTATTAAATATGTTATAAGGTATATATTTACCTACATATAGGATAAACAACCGTTTAAAATTTTAACCATTGGGAATTAGTCGTATAAGAACGAAAGAATTATAGCGAATGGACCAACATCCGACTGATTAGCGTTTTTTTTTCTTATATCGCATTAAAGCTCTTAACTTAGAAGACTTATTTGTTGAAAAAAGTACCTGACTTAATGTTTAGTACAAATGCTTACAACTGACATTTCTAGAATGAAATATTTATAGTGTTTGTCTGAAATCGTTTTATTCTCTCTATTATCGTCATTAAAAAGGCTGTTAACGGTACAAATAAATGCTTCCCTAGAGAGATAAATCTTGAATTGAGCAATTTCGCTGCATACTAATCATTTTTTTTCTATAAATCAGTTAGTTAGTGAATAATTTATATTCTATGTATTAATTCTTTGTAATATCATTACACACTCTCTCCAATCCAACCATTTATCTGTTTCTTATATTTTCTTGTCTTATTTTTATTTCTTTTGTTATTGTGGTTTGTTTCATTTATTAAGTTAATTGCTGTCAAAGAATCTTCTTCATTTTATCTACTTTCACACCAATTTCTGTTTGTATGAAACACAACATTCAGATTTACGATAAAACAAAACACCGGTTACTGTCATTTGACATTCTTTATGTGGTCTTTACCAGTTACTTATTATTAATGCTGTTCCATTTTACGAATTATTTATGTCTGATTGATGATAAATTGTCATATTTGTTGTAATATTAATTAATTTGTTTTATTGCATTCACTTCATTGGGTTATGTCAATTTTTTTTGTGAAATTGATGAATGGTTTTGGTGTAGAATTAATCTTTGTTATTAATGTCCAGTTTCTTGGTACTGTATTTTCCCATTCGACTTAGATTATTACTTTCCTCGTTTTTTAATGTGTAAAGCTTATGGATGAGAATTCGCGGAATTCTATCCTTTATAGATATTATCATTACCGCTATTAGTAATAATAATAACCCAAAGCTATTATCATTTCGCTCTACGCATTATTTTCGATTTACATAAAAATTATACATAATACAGAAAATTTTTATTATTAATGTGTTGTGGGAGTAGATTTAATTTGTTACAAGCCGTCATATTTCACGTTAATATTAGTCAATGATATTTGCCATTCTCTAATGGTTGTTAATATTATTGGATAAATTGTGTTCTATGGGCAGTTTTGGTCTTAATAATTATCCGAATTTCGGTTTTACCATATCACGTTTCTTGAAAACTTCTAATTTTATCTGCCTTTAAATTCACATAGAAAATCATCCAATTGTACATCTTTTTTTCAAATAGATGCTCGAACTACTTGTTTGTTTTTTTAGTAGTATCAAACGTCTTCAGTATTTTAATGCGTATTTCAATAACTAAACTTGTCAAATTAGTGAAATATACTGTTGATTGTTAGTTATTCCTGCATGTTTGCTCTTTTTTTTCAATTTAATACCTATGATTCATTTTCATTGCTGAAACTAAGACATACTGTGCAAAGGGCCCATAATCAAGATGAATCATCTAATGAATATCAACAAAGTTGGATAGATTCAGGTGTAAATAATCTACGAAATTCTGGACAAAACATTATTTCACAGGTATGATTATATGAAGTTGTTATTAATACATCTTCATTGGTCTAAATTGAATAACTTTCTCACAAATCGTTTTGTCAAAGTGTAGCACTGGTTTTTGGTTCTCAAGGTCAGTTCACAGACTTAGTGTAAATCCAGAAATATATGCCTTCTTCTTTATCATGAACATCAGTCACTTGGAATGCCGTTAAAAACCTTGGAGGATTGGGCGGATGCTTTGTTCTAGTTTAGGATTCCTTCCAGTGTGCACTTATGGTAGCATAGGATAGCTCCTTATCTCATTATGAGAACACCATGACATGTTTCAAATTCCCAACTGTATTCCATAACTAACTCTACCGGTCATGACTTCCTACTAGGATGTTGGAAAGTTTTCTTGAATTTAGACATAAGTGATTTGCTTCATTACCAAGTTTGGGGTGTATCTGTATGTATGAATATTGTTTATCTTGAAGCTGTTTTGATAACATACTGACATATGCTGGTAAAACTGTATACTTGAAGCATCACTCAGTTTGATACAAATCCCTGTTTGGTGTAAATAGAGTAAAATTATGTTTATAATCTCACTCCTAAAAATTAAAATGAAGTAGATGATATGTGGCTAGTAATGGAATCTGTAATGTACGTTTCATCTATCAACTGGACGTGCCTGGACGAACGTATTTACGATATACATTGTCATGAAGGTTCACTTTTCTCAATTTATTAGTGTAAATAGCTTCTTTTATATATGTACGTCATTTTCGTGTTTTCGCTCCGATTAAATAATGTATATATTGACATTTTCTTTTTATTAATATTTTCTGTTTCAATTTATATATAGGCTAGAGGATTACTTTTAGTTTTAAATAATGTTGAATGGGTTGCGTGTCATGCAAATTATCGTCTATTAAATTTATACAAGTCATTAGGATATGTTTCAGTTGATCGATTACAAGCTACTTTAGATGAAGCATGGGATGAAGGTCGAAAGGATATTTGTTCAAGATATGTGAAATTACGTAGTGAATGGTTATGTTTACCGCTTCAATCATACTTATCAAATCTTTTACCATCAGAAAGATACATAAGTACTAAAAAAAAGGATGATATATATATAATAAATGGTATGTTTTGATGAATTTGACTTAATTTTCTTTTATCTTTCAACATAGTAAGGTCCTTTAATTTCGTTGTTATAGCTCTTTTAGTAATGAATTTATATCATTTTCTTAGTTCTAATTCCTTCATCATTAAGTTTGTGGCTTCGAAACCAGTCTGATTCTCTCCTTGTAACTTACCACTATCATGAGCTATTGTGCGCACAGTATGTAACTCATATATACATAGACAATGAGATATTTAATACCTTTATAGTATCTGATTGTTTTCAAAACAATTACAATTTCTTTACCGTTTTATTGTCATTCGAATTGATTGTTCAGTGTTATATCGTTTAGCTGCAGAAAAGCGTCCAATGTTATGATTTCAATTACCATTTATTTCTGTATTATTGACTTTTTTTTGCTATAACCTTACACGCTTATGTATGCATTACTTCAGTTGTCACATTCATCCACCTAAGAAATTCACTGTAATAAAAATAAGAGTTGCTTAAGTGTATAAGGGTTTAGTATTAAAACACTGGACGACGTAGAGCTCAATATTTGACTCTGAAAAGAAGTTGGAATTAAATACTAGTTTTGAGTCTCCTATTAATCATTAAACTCCGCCTGTAGCTCTCCTAGAGTTACTGCCGGTCCCAAGCCCGGATAAACGAGGAGGGTTGGGCAGGGGGTTAGCGTCCCCATCCCGTAGAAAACTAACTCGCTAAAAAAACGCTAACCAGAAAAAATAACTTAAACCATTTAAACTCTGCCCTGGGAGTTGGAAGGTCTTCATTTAGAAGAAATATGACGCCTCATGGTGAGAGCCGAATTCCTTCGGAAGCCATGAAGCCGATGCTCCTTCTAAGATTTCTTCTGATTGTACCTTTCCGTTTCCCCCATTATTGTTCTCTCTCTTTTTCTTTTTTATAACTCCTCACGTTCAGTATTTTTTTTCTCCTTCTCTTCAAATTATCATTGTTTTGTGTGGCGCATATATATTTGGTGCCTCCTTGTACCAATATTTATGTGTTCAAATAAATAAATAAATAAATAAATAAATAAATAAATAAATAAATAAATAAATAAATAAATGCCCCTTCTAACAACCAGAGCAAAAATTTTTATAGTTATTTCGAACGTCCGGACAATGTGGGAGACCGGGAAGACCAGTCAAATAGCAACAGAAATGAGGAGATACAACTTGACAATACTCAGAATCACCGAAACCCATTGGACCCAAGCTGGATAACAAAGGCTAAATACGGGAGAGATGCTGCTATACTCCGGTCACGAAGAGGAAAATGCACCACACACTCAGGGAGTTGCCCTAACGCTGTCCAAAGTAGCACGAAATGCACTTGTAGGATGGGAATCTCACGGATCCAGAATCATCAAAGCATCATTCAAAACAAAGAAGGAGGGGATCACAATGAACATTATCCAATGTTATGCACCCACCAGTGATAGCAACGACGACGTTAAAGATCAATTCTATGAGAGGCTGTAATCAATCATAGAGAAGTGCCGAAGAAAGGAACTCACCATTCTGATGGGAGATCTAAACGCCAAAGTCGGAATAGACTACACCGGATATTAAGATATCATGGGACAGCATGGACTGGGAGAGAGGGACGGGAACGAGGAAAGATTTGTAAATCTGTGTGCATTCAACAAATTGGTCATAGGCGGCACAATATTTCCACACAAACGTATACACAAAGCTACATGGATCTCAACGGACCACACCACGGAGAACCAGATAGATCATATTTGCATCAATAAAAGTTCAGAAGGACAATGGAAGATGTGAGAACCAGGAGAGGAGAGGATATAGCTTAAGATCGCCACCTGGTTGTGGCCAATTTAAAACTGAAGTTGAAGAAGAACTGGATAACTAGACAAACAACACTGCAAAGGTTCAATACAGCATTCCTTTGAGATACTGACAAACTCAATGAATTCAAAATAGCCCTCAACAACAGGTTCCAAGCCTTACAGGATCTGCTGAAGGAAGAAGAAACTACTATGGAGGATAGCTGGAAAGGTATCAAATAAGCATTAACTTCAACGTGTCAAGAGGTTCTGGGCCCCAAGAAGCATCACCATAAGGAATGGATCTCTACAGAAACACTGGACAGGATCAAAGGAAGGAAGAACAAGAAGACAGCAGTTAACAATAGTCGAACACGAGCAGAGAAAGTCCAAGCACAAGCTGAATACATAGAAGCAAACAAGCCAGTGAAGAAGAGCATTAGAGCCGACAAGCAGAAATACGTGGAAGAACTAGCAACGACGGCGGAGAAAGCTGCAAGAGAAGGAAATATGAGACAGCTTCACGATACAACGAAGAAACCAGCAGGGAAATATAGTAAACCAGAGAGACCAGTGAAAGACAAAGAAGGAAGACCGATCACTGAGATTCAGCAGCAGCGGAACAGATGGGCAGAGTACTTCGAGGAACTCCTGAATAGGCCGGCCCCAATGAATCCACCGGACATCGAAGCAGCACACACAGATCTCCCTATAGATGTCAATCCACCAACGACAGAAGAAATCAGAATGGCCATCAGACAAATCAAGAGCGGGAAAGCAGCAGGACCCGACAATATACCAGCTGAAGCACTGAAGTCAGACATCGAAGTAACTACGAACATGCTTCATCTTCTATTCAAGAAGATTTGGGAAGAGGAACAAGTGCCGATGGACTGAAAGGAAGGACACCTCATCAAGATTTCAAAGAAAGGAGACCTGAGCAAGTGTGAGAACTACAGAGGCATTACACTACTGTCAATACCAGGAAGTCTAACAGAGTGTTACTGAACAGGATGAAAGACACAGTAGACGCTGAACTTTGAGATCAACAAGCTGTATTCCGTAAGGACCGGTAGTGCACAGACTGAATTGCGACACTACGGATCATCGTCGAACAATCAATCGAATAGAACTCGTCATTGTATATCAACTTCATTGATTATGAGAAGGCATTTGACAGTGTAGATAAGAGAACGTTATGGAAAATTCTTCGACACTATGGAGTTCCTGAGAAGATTGTCAACATTACCCGGAACTCATACGACGGACTACAGTGCAAAGTAGTGCATGGAGGACAGCTGACAGATGCATTCCAAGTGAGGACCGGAGTCAGACAAGGCTGTCTACTCTCTCCCTTTCTCTTTCTTCTGGTGGTTGACTGGATTATGAAGACCTCGACATCTGAGGGAAAACACGGCATACAATGGACAGCTCAGAATCAATCAGACGATTTAGACTTCGCAGATGACCTAGCCCTCCTATCGCATACACACGAACAAATGCAGACAAAGACAGCCAACATATCAGCAGTCTCTGCATCAGTAGGCCTAAAAATACACAAAGGGAAAACCAAGGTCCTCAAACACAACACGGAGAACAGCAGTCCAATCACTCTTGATGGCGAAACTCTGGAAGATGTGGAATCCTTCACATACCTGGGAAGCATCGTCGATAAACAAGGAGGTTCAGATGCAGACGTCAAGGCGAGGATTGGAGAAGCAAGGGCCTCATATTCCTTCAATTAAGAAACATATGGAACTCAAAACAACTTTCAACCAATATCAAAGTCACAATCTTCAATACGAACGTCAAGGCAGTTCTACTGTACGGAGCTGTAGCTTGCAGAGCTACTACAACCACCATCAAAAATGTACGAGTATTTATAAATAGTTGTCTACGCAAGATACTCAATATCCGTTGACTGGATACCATCAGCAACAGCCTTTTGTGAGAGAGAACCAACCAGCTTCCAGCTGAAATGGAAGTTAGAAAACGACGATGGAAATGGATAGGACGTACATTGAGGAAATCATCAAACTGCATTACGAGGCAAGCCCTAACTTGGAATCTTGAAGTGAAGCGGAAAAGAGGAAGGCCAAAAAACACATTACGTCGAGAAATAGAAGCGGATATGAAAGGAATGAATAAGAAGTAGAAAGAGCTGGAAAGGATTGCCCAGGACAGGGTTGGATGGAGAATGCTGGTGAGCGGCCTATGCTCCTTCTCGAGGAGTAACAGGCGTAAGGAAGTAAAAAGTAAGTATTAATCATTATCATTGGTATGTTTAATTGTATGCAAATGGACATCGGTGAAATTATAGATATGCCTGAGATATATGTTTAACATATAGACTTCAATTTATTTGTTTACTTTTTTATTTGCCCAAAAAATCCTATTCTATTTCAGGCATACAAAGTTCACTACAAGAAGTTTTAGCTAATTTATCGCATATTTATTCTGAATTAATTTTACTTATTGGATTGAAATCCATTCAGTCATCATCATCATCCTTCTCTTCATCACCCTATCGAACTAATTCTTCCAATGAGACTAATGACAAAAAACCAATTTGTTCTATTAGTATACAAGAGATTTTTCATCAAATTATTCAATATCTTATTCAACATATTCATGATCGTTTAATGTAAGTTTTGTTTTAATTTTGATTTTACTAATAATGAATATAGTGTGCTTTTTTTGAAATAATTAATCCACTTTTAGAAATTATGACAATGTAACATTGTAGAAATCTGAAGTAGTAGATCAATGAACCGAAAGAATAAAATTATACTTAAACATTCTTATTGTTATTAATGCATACTTCTTTATATGTGGATGTCCTTCTGAATACGTAATTTAAATGGTTTTTAGTTCGTATAACGACTAAATGAGGAATGTAAATATTTGATTCATGGTACTACTCAAAGATAGGGAACCAGTTGATGAGATTGTAAATCTTCATCGGCTGTGGTGGTTAGGTAATGTATTATGTAGGCCTAACCATTATCTACTACGACGGCCCACGCTTGCTAGTGTAGATACACGTTTGAAAAAAGTTACACGTGATCAATACATAAATTGACTGACTGCTGGTATGAGCACCTGGTTGGGAGGTCTATGCGGTAACCTCAATAAATGAGTTGTTGGAGACTTTGAGTGAGGTGGTTTAAAATCGTTTACATTGTAACACTTCTGTTCATTATTTATCTTCCCGAATTTTAGCTCCGAAGACTACAATTTGTACTTTGTAAATTGATTAAATAGGATTTTTGGATAAAAATTATTGATACTGTTCTTCTCAAATTTAATTCAAGCAATAACTTATGTTCTATTCCTCACTAAAGTTCTTAATAAAGATGCCATAGTTAAAAGTTTGATCTATTGGCAATCACCAATAATTGTTTTATTGGGTCTGGGTTTAAGCCAGTTTTTTTTTGATTGATATCAACCAGTCGACTACAATATATGTAGACTGATTTGAAAATGAATCTAAATATACTACATTGACTTCTCATATGAATTGAATTTCAACTATTTATCGACGTAATGTGTAATTAGGTAATCAAGGATTACTTTCAGATGGCATAATAAATATAATGCACATTGTATCTTTTAAATATAATTTCAGTTTACTTCTTTTATTCATCAGGTTTTTAATTTATTACATTTGGTTTATCATTCCTGTTCACCGTTGAATACTATGTTAAACTGTATTAAGATAGCTAACATGTACATTTAACTAATAGGTGTAGGTAAATGAAAATTTTGGATGATTTTGAATACTTACAATACAACTTATTTTGAATTTTCAAAGAATTATTCATTCAAGTAGCATCATAATTCTTGTCAACTTAGCTCCAATTGGCAATTATAGTTTGTTGCATCGAATACTTGTATATTATTACATAATTAGTGATGATATTCGATTAGCAAGTAAATATTTCTTAGAGTGTTTTAAAATTTTTACCGATAACTACTACAGTTTTAATTAACAGACTTCAACATCAAGTTTAAATATTGCAACTCAAAACATATCGTTGATGAGTTTCAGTAAATTCTGTTTTGATCATGCACAAGAATTTTCAGGTCATAATGTAGTGTATGCTATTTATGTTGGCAGAGATAAGTAGTATGTAACACCAGTCAAAAGTGGAATATCTGGCAGTAGAAGGTTGAGAAGATTGAATTATAGAGAACAGGAATGTTAACAGAGAGTAATTGTGATAACAACAGAATTGAAGGAATCATAAAGTACGTGCAGGACAACTGAAGGAAAATATTCAAATTATATAATTAATGTATGCTTTTCATATTTTACGAAAGCACTCTATAATTTTGCATTAAACAATAAATTAGTTATCGTCACATCATGTCTTAATTCACTACAATAAGTCTCTGAGGGTAATGACCAAAATTAGAATATCGTTAATATAGAATGAATTATTTTCAAAATAAATCACTGGTCATCGAAAAGAATTTATGACTTATTTTGAATGTGTAGTCAATTAATTATTAGTTATTATTTGTTTATATAATGTGAAAGATAATGCTCTATTGGTCACATTAGCAACTAAATAAAATAATCATGATTAATAATTACTTTAAAATGTTTTATTAAGATTGTTAAGGATATTATTTAATGAAGAGATAACTAAACTACCTTACTTTTACTATAAATCTGTTTTTTTTTCTATTTTAGGATTAGTTTCACAATTGTTACTACTTTTAGTTTCTTTTTTTAGTTATACTGAATATTATTTGTAAACATTTCCCATTTGACATTTTATTCATTTTCTATTATTATCTGGTTTATGGATCAAAAATTAAAAACTTTGATTTTGTGTGGTTTAACTTTTTTTTGTTTTTGTTTTTGAGAATAAATATTTTGTTTATTATTTCTACTTTAATGTATCTGTTATAGTTTATCGGTATTACTGACAATGGTAAATCAAGACTATATGTGGGTGCATTTCATTTAATATTTAAATGAAATAAATTAACTTTTGATTCGTTCACATTAATAATATTTATGAAACATTATTATATTGTTGCAATAATAATTGTCATTTGTCTTAGTGTAGGTCAAATAGTTTTGTTTGATTTAAATAAAGCAAGAACAACAAAGTTTACAGAATAAAATGAATTCATCCTATTTCATAGTTTCTCATCAGCTCTATTTAATTTCAAATTACAATCAGTAATATAAATACAATTATTAACTAAAGTTTACAATATTTCAATTCGTGTAGTTTAGATGAATGTTCGTAACGTAACCAAAATCATAATAATCAGAAGAATAGGGATACAAAGTGTATGAATAAACAGAGTCAATATCGATGTGTATTTATGTTGGGAAGTACTAATTAAGAGGTCATATATAAGTAATGAAATTCAAAAGTAATTAACATGATAAACAGATGTGTGAATTCAATACGTAAGTTCAACTATGAAAATACTACGATATTCACAAATCCCCATACTGATAATAATCATCATGTGCTCACTAGTGACTAGCTCAACATGGGTTTCTTGGAGTTCTAATGAGAAACCATGACCAGTGGAGTTCAACCGGGTCAGTTGTGAGATAGTAACTCACTGATGACAATGGTGAATGTGTCGCTCAATTTTGTGGATTGGTTGAATTCAGACATTACCACTGTTGGATGCCGGCTCAGTGGTCCATAGGTTAAGCGTTCGCGCGTGAGACTGATAGATCCTTAATTCGAATCCCACGAGCGGGGTCATGGATTCGTACTGCTGGGGAATCTCATTCTAGGGCGAAACAGTCACTCAGTGCTTCCAGGTTTCCGATGATGTTCTGGCCGTGATTGACTCATGAGCTCAATTATTAAATTGAGATATTAGTTGAATTGGTAGTATAGTTGATTCTAAAGTAGTCTCACAGATAAGTATATTGTATATATGCTTTGTAGTATACAGCTAATTAGTATCTTGAATCTAGACAAAATAGTTTCGGCTTGTAACACTTATGTAAAAACCTCACCACGACTAGCAATTTATAAGTATTTCGAGGCACCCAAATGTCCTATTACGGCCGAGGGTGTGGAGAGTCAGCTCACCCTCTCGAAATGCTCTCACATGGCCACACGTATATAGCCACCGTCAGCGAAGTCCTACTGATTACATTCTCGAGGCTTTAACCGGATTGGTGGATATGGAAGATCCAACTAAGAACTTGGAAAACCCTGACTCCAAACCAGTGGTGCACATGAGTTCCTGGGTCCTGAAGGAAGAAATGGTGTATGAGCCTATTGTTGGTCACCGGTTATCGTGGGGCTGTATCTCCTGACGTTGATCCACTGCCCCGTGGATTAGACCTTCAGGTCAAGTTCTCGTGGAGTGGCCCTCTAAGAAAACCACCTTCTTCGGCTTGGCTCTCTGGCAGTATTCCAGCTCTCACACTGATCGAATGATTTGTGTAGCGCATATGTATTTGATGCTCCCTTGTATCAGTGTTTATATGTTTTGATAAGTATGTACTTTTTTAACTTCAGTACTTCTTCTTTGTTTAACAAGTCCTTCTATACTCTCTTTCAAATCCATTAAATTAATCGTCCTAAACTGAATTAAATATTTTTCCCTCTCCTTGGTATGATTTCAAATTTTAACCTGTCTAAAATTCCTCATTAAGTTATCACCAATAACATATTTGTCTAGTTCTTTAGCGGTGATCAAATCGTAATAATCAGTTTGTAATGTAGTCACTATTCTGAGTGATTATGTGTCACTCGGACTATGTTGGGATGTTAGATGGTTGGAAGCAGTCAACAGGAAGCATTAAACTTAGATTTCGTGCTAGTCAGCTATCATCAACAATGCATATTTGCAATCTTTGGAGAACTAATGTTCAAGATGTTGAATATTGAGCTATTTCCGACCTGATTGATCTAGATTGTAGTACCGAAATATTCACATTAACTTAATCACCAAGCAGTAATCAATATTCTTTTTTTATCTTGTACTTTAGTACTGATCGAATCCTATCGATCAGGTTAACTTGATGTAATTATGGATAACTTAAATTTTAACGGCTATTTGTGTATAAGTGTTTTTGATTTTATCACAATCTTATCAAATTACTTATTAATATTAATGATTGTTTTTTTCTCGTTTATTTTGTTTTTTTTTTCATTTATTAAGTGAACGTAATGTATCGGATTGGTCACAATTAGCTCAATTACAATTAACTTTGGATTTGAATGCAATTAAATTAATTTTACCGAATTATTTATTTACAAATGAATCAAATAAACTATTAAACACAATATGCTCTCGTTATAAGATTAAAATATCTCCAGTATTCAATTATTTAGGAAATGAAGAATCTCAGTAAATCGATGATTTCATTTATAATATTTTTTAATGTATTTTTTCTCTTTCTCAAAGTATGTACTTATAATGTCGTTGTTATGTCGAAAGAGATTGTGATAGATTCATTATTAACTTATACAGCTAACAGAGAACACCAATAACTTGAAAACTAACCTTGTTATACTCTATAGGTATGACACAAGAAGTGTTATATCATTTGAAGTACATAGATGTAAAGTGTAACTGTTTGAAATAATGTAGTTTAAAAATCATATGAGGAGTACATTTATCAAAAGGATTACAACAATGCGAGACATCAGTTAGGAATCACCAATTTTTTCAGAACGACTGGGACATCGTATTGATGTGATACGTGTATCCGAGCTCATCTCTAGAGCTATGAAAAAGTAATCTTATTCATGTAAAATTAGGAATAAAGGAACGAAACATAGGGCACGAAACTAATGCTGCAAAAATTACTTTGATAAATTTATCGTTATACATGTGATAAGTTATTTGACGATCTACTGATTTCAATAGATACTGTTTAAATTAACACAATTTAAATTATCCTAAAGAGGTGATTTTAGTAAGTATGCTCATTAAAAGCATTGACTAGGCATTTAATATCCCTATAATTTCACTAGTTGAATTCGATACGGTCGCATGCGTAAAATTGTTATAACTTATGGCCTTGTGCCCTATTAATGTATAACATAATGATACCGCCAATGAGAGAACAGTGATTTATCGACCGGACCAATGACGTATAAATCTGTACGAGCAGTTTAAATTCCATATCGGTCCTTCTTCCTGCCTAACCAATGTAAGCCCCCGCTATATGAATCATGTATTTCAAATATACTGGGTTTTTATACAAACCAAATAGATTACATTGAACCACAAAATAGAAAACAACATTTGTACAAGATCTAACCAAAAGTGGCTGTGAATGTGAGAGACTGTAATTAACAGACTCAAGAACGGTATTTCGCATAATAATAGCCTATGGGTCAAAATTAAGCTTTTAATGAGAACATCAATATTCATAGTTTAGTTATTTAATAATTATATAGTCAAAATATGTGTATTTTATTGGTCCATAAAAAGTTCTCGAAAGTTACCATTCACAATTCTCGTCGGGATGTAACAAAAATACTTTTAAGGCGTTTTCGTAGGAGAGGGCTAACATTACGTGGTAACGTGCGATCGTGTTTTTGTATCATTTATTAAAGGATAACATAATCTTTCAGTAATTTCTTGAGTTTATCTTAGCTTGTCTTTTTTTAACGTTTGTGGTATAGGATACCAATCGTATGAAAACTACTTAAGCTCAATTCTTTCTTAAGGCATGATTCCAAACTTCAACTTTAATGTGCATCATCGTTATGTTGAAGGATGTGTAGTCTAAAATTGTAATGCCTTTTAAAAATAATCACACCATTCATTTTAGAATTTGAGTTATGAAGCTTACAGTTTTGGAATTGATGCTTAATAAAGTATTCATTAATTAATTTGAATGAAAAACAGTATAGTATCAACTTTTATCCTGTAAATTAAGTAGTTATTTCAAAGCAGTTGTAGAATACTTTGTCTTGCAACTCCATATCGTGCTATATAAATATATATATATATATATATATATATATACCGTTTGTTACGATTTCTCACTGATAGTCTATTACTGTCAGGATATCTACGTGTAATTTTGATTTACTTAACTTTGAACATGTCTCTTCTCTTGTGTTTTCATATTTGTTAGACATTTGTCGAAATTACTTGAAAAAGAAAGAGGTAAAATGCGTTTATTAATTAATGGTTTAACTACACTTCAGTCACCACGTCGAGAATCAATGGTCACAGGATAATCGGGATTTTCTCGTGTATTCCTACTCCAAATCACACACATACACATAAGTACACCAGAAATCCACCTTTCGGTGGTGATTATCTTTTTATGTACTTACTGTTGTTTGCTTTCCTTTTTTTTAAATTTACTTTGCATAAACTGTAATTTTAATCTGTGATTGATTTTCACGTGTATATGTGACTATTGTTACAACTAATCATGAAGGTTCTGTTGTTTGTTTTCTAAAAAAGATCACTCTACAGTATAATGTCCTTTACGGGAAGAAAAACCGTGAATATATCGAATAAATTTTGTAAACAGAGATCAATTTACTTCGATGCTTAATTTTTGGTCTCTTTTAATGAAAAAAGTTATAATTCTTGTTTACACTCTGTAAAATATAATCAGTTTGTTTACTTCTAATGTTGACTTTGGAAGTTTTGTTATGCAGCTTGGTAAATAGAATTTTATCTTTAAAGGTAAATTAATAGTATTAGTTCCGAATATTGTTGCTATAAGTCGATTGTATCATTGAAAAGTGTCACCTTTTGGATTATTATTATTATGATCGAAAACATGTAATCTGTGATAAGATGGTGGTAGGAGATAGTCAACAGGAAACTCTGGACCCAGGTTTCGTGCTACTTGACACTCATCAGCAAGGTGTACCTGTAGTCTTGAAGGGACTGGCGACACGGAATCGAGTCCGTTAAGGAGCACCAGTTCCCTCAAGATTACAGGTACACCTTGCTGACGAGTGTCAAGCAGCATGAAACTCGGGTCCAGGGTTTCCTATTGAATACCTCCAACCACCATCTGATCTCAACATGGTGCACGCAATATCGAGTCACCTAGACTGGTGGCCACACTGCAACTTAGTCGATAGTAATCGATCTGCATTAATAAGGACTTTACACACATGACCACCCAGTGATCAATCAGTTGTGATTACATGTAATCTGTCTTTACAAGCTACCGCCGTCGTTCTAGTGTTAGGTTGTGGAATGGAATCTACCAAATGCATTTTATCTTTGATGCACGATAGTTGACACTCATCAGAAAAGTGTATTTACCATCTCGACGGAGGTTATATCATGAGCGTATCATCCTTTTTAAAAACGTCACTATTTAGAAATTTGGGTTTCATCTGGCTTCCTGTATAACAAATCTTTATATTATTGAATATTAGAATGGTAAACGATATAATTTCATGTAATCCTTTATTAACCACTAAGTTACGTGGATGAAATATCAATCTTTGATTGTCTTGGTCTGTAACCCAACATTCATTCATCATAACGTATTATTTAGTATATCGCGATGTATATATGAAATAGTGGTATGATTTATTGTACATATATTGGGATGGCTTATATCTTTTCTAAAACAGACAACATACCCTGACACTTGAACAGTATCTAAAACCATGAGTATGCTGATTAAATTTCAAAACGACCGTGAATTTTCATATTATTTAACTCTTTCAAGCTATCAAGCTCTATGATATCCAGTGCTTTTAATTATGCTGAATTTCCTCTGGATTCACTCTTTTTTGCCGAGCAGTCAAACGAAATAACCAATGAAAATATATTTAAAAGATATGTTTTATTACACAATGAAGCCTAAAATGTAATATAACGTATTTCTACACATATCATTAATTATATGGGTCTCAAATCATTTACCTAATTGTTACACATTATACTTAATTCACTGATCATCTCTACGTACATGTATTAGACATTTCCGATTTAATACATATATAGTAACAACTACAAAGTATATGTGGATTGAAATTTAAACATATCTTACTCATCTCAGATTTGTCTGTTTATGGGTTACCAATAAAATCGGTTGAAAAGATTTCTAAACGAAACTCAAGTCTGTCCTCAATAGAGTTTACTTTAATATTGTAATCTTTTCTGGAATAAAGTATACTTTTTTGAAGTAACATGTTATTTGAATTCCTATTCCCCGTTCATTTCAATTGAAGCCTAGTTATCAATAGAGTTGAATTAATAAAAATTGTTGTATTCGTTGGAAGATTTGAGTGAGGTCCTACGTGTGCAACAAACTGTTTTTTTTTGTAGTTCACCAGGCTATGTCCGTTTGTGAATAAAGTTATTTAAAACTTATCGATTTCCTAAAATGCCCTAATTTAAAATAAATTGTATCAAGATATACAGGGACTGATATTTTCAGGAAACATAAATATAATATCGTTTGTGAATTTAAGTAGTTAATAGGTTTGTCTAGAATATGCAAAAGAAGTGATGTGATACAGACGTTGTAATGTTCTCATACACTTAGTTAGTTATCTAAACCGTACATGTATTAGTATCTTCGAGATATATTAAACATATACAACATAATATCGTTGTTTAATAATAATATCTAAATACAAGACCATTTTTGGAACAAGGTATGCTATTTTTATGCATATAATAAGGAATTATATATCAGGTAAAATAATTTTATGTAAGACCCTGTTATATTTAAATTTTAGACTAAAATTCTCAATTCTTGTTTACATACAACCTGAAAATAACTAGAATTCTGTTTATTTATTTCATACATCTTATATACTGCTAATATAAGTAGATACTTTTAAAAAAAATATTATGTTAACTTTTGATATAAATACTATACTATTCAATTAATCTATGTACATGATGCAATATTGAATTCATTCAATTATGATTTACAATAGTCGAATAATTTTCATGAATCTATATACATGATTAATTGTGCTTTAAGTCATTAATGATCAGTAAATAAGTTCTAAAGTAATTTTATTTTAAAAATTTATATTATATACAGTCAATTACATATAGCTATAATGATAGGAATTATTATTATTATTGGTGGTGGTGGTATATGTCAGTCAGTCAATCAGCTACAACGTAGGACGGTGGTATTTGTAAGAATAATAGTATCAATTCTAGTGATAACTTTTGACCCATTTCTTAGAAAATTTTATTGAAAATGCCGCAATTCTTTTGAACTTCAATATTTATATATAACTGAAATAAATTTTTTATTTAAAAAAAAGTTAAGATCAAAAGAATTTTTTAGATATTTAAAACTATTCTCTAGGCAATTATTCATTAGAATGATATATTTACATGATTCTATATGTGAGTTAAGGAAAAAAACAACAACACTGAAGCTAAACACATCAACAATCCGTCAGTTAGTAAATATAATAAGTTAATAGCTAACTGTTTAGTTATCTAACAACTAAACTTTGTTTTTTGGTGATAAAATGAAAAGAATTAAGATTATCAGATTTACATGATTAATACAAGTTAATAAGCAATTCTCACGCTACGGTATATGTTTTTTTTCTAATATTCTTTATTTTTACTACCGGTTGCTCTTTTATGTTTATTGTTAGTTTTGTATGAATAATTTGAGATAAGTTACATAGAGTATTTGATTGATATAACTGCTGATTTTAGACTCTTCTATGACTGCTAAGGTTAAATTTAACGAATATATAAGTATAAGACGAATTCACTGTTCTTCTGTAGATAAGTCTTGGTTGGTATAGTTCAATTATATTGAACAAGGGATAATTATCACTAATGGTAGTGGAACTGGCGAATTGTCTTAAGTTGGAAATGTAAATCCTAATATATGTTAACTCAGTGGTCTGAAGATCCTGTGTTAGGTCCATTATGTAGACAGTATAGTTGTCTAGTGCCGCCTGATTTTAAGTGTTCAAATTATGTCAGTCCATGATAAATAAACTAAAGGAATTTAAGTTTCCACAACTTTGTGTACTATTATTGATCATAAGATTATTGCTGATTAACTTTCATTCTAGTCTCACGTTACTTTTTTGACTAAGACTAACTTTTATTGGACAAATGAAATTTACTAATGAAATATAAGTCAGGTTTATGTTAATTAAACGTTTATAGACTGACGAGAAAATTAAATTTCTTATATTTCAGAACTGATCTTAGAACTTTTTATGTTTAGTACTACAATTATAGTTTGTAGATTTTTATTTGTTGGTTATACAATTAAAACTGAAAACCAACAGTTAGTTTATAATTCGGAAAAACACTATGAAAATGTATGTGTGAAGGAACACAGGATCGAGAAGAAAATAAAAAGTGAATGCGTCTGTATGTGTGTGAGCTATTGTAAATCATCTCACACAAGGTCTTCGATAACTCACTAATTAGGATTAGAGTGCAGAACTCCCAACCACGTAATATGCACTAACCAGTGTACTTACATCGACAGTCAGTCAATTAATGGACTTTTGTGGCTTTTATCTGACTCCGGTTTGATTGTAAAACAATATTATCAAAATATATATCTCGGTTACCCTCGTACATAAATACTGACTTAATTCACGTTGGAAAATAACAATAAAGTAAGTCAAACAGTAGAATGTATTTTTTAATATGTATATTTCGTACACTCGTTGATTCGGACAGGCAACTAAAGAAACGAACGGAGAAAGCAAAGTGAAGAGTGTCGTTGGAAAAATGAAAAACGATGCAACCTGAAGAAGGTGAGTGAGCCAATTCGCTTCCATCAAGTATGATTCAATTAGGCCAGACAAAAATAAGTTACAGACATTAGATTAGCAGGATAAGCATTCCATACGCCTACACTTATATAAAAACAATCAGGATTAATAAGTGAGCAATTAACAAGGTCAAAATATGGCACAAAAGAATGAATAAGTCGGTTTGTTAAGAGGCTAGAATAACGCATGTTTGTTTGATATAGTACCAGACATTACAGACCGGTGGTGTCTTGGTTTGATCACTTATAGTTTTCTTTTAACATACATTTAGATCAGCAAGCGTAACTCGTCTCGTTAAGCAGTGGTTAGACACACGTTACACATAGCCTAACCATCTCATCCGATGACGATGTACAATCTCATCAACTGGTTCCTCACCTTTGCGTGGTACTGTGAGTCCAACCTCAGCTGAAATCGCTCACTTAATAGTTTCATGAACCACTAGGAATGTTCTAAAGGCATTTGTTATGAAAAGTCTTCAGACCACTTATGTTTTTGACTTTCAAAGGTAGTGTTCTACAGCCATAAAGTAGAACTAAGGGAATTTCCTTCTAGTATACAAGCCTTTTCTTCTCTAACATATCGATTACGTCGCAAATGGTGCAAGTTTGCTAAT